AGGTTCACTGACTGAAACGTTTTTCTTTCTTGTATAAAGCACACTTAGATGGGATTACCTCCAGTTTCAGTTCTTTTGAAGTGGAACAAAAATATTTATAGAGATTTGCAAAGCAATTTTAGTATTTTTCAAGACTTTCCGATCTTTCGCAGTTTTAACTCACTACTACTTTAAACAATAATTAAATGGTCCATCACTGAGTCTTTCTAAGACATGTAACTTAGTTTTATAGACACAATCCTCTTTTTTTACTCATACAATGTTAAAATAAACTGGAATCAAATACAAATAACTCTTTGGTAAGCAAAAAATCGAATCTGTGAAGCATACTAGCTGCCAGTTGTCAGCAGGTCAATAATGTGGCCAGCAGCCATTATGTTTTATGGAAGGACTAAAGGCATCAATTAATTTGGAGTGTTGACTAGTAGAGAGCAATTAAGAGAGTTTCCACTTTCGGGGCTGGCCCCGTGGCCGAGTGGTTAAGTTCACGCGCTCCACTTTGGTGGCCCAGGGTTTGGACCCTGGGCACGGACATGGCACCACTCATTAGGCTATGTTGAGGCAGTGTCCCACATGCCACAACTAGAAGGACCCACAATTAAAATATACAACTATGTACTCAGGGGATTTGGGGAGAAAAAAGCAGGAAAAAAAAAAAGATTGACAACAGTTGTTAGCTCAGGTGCCAATCTTTAAAAGAAAAAAAATAACTAGCCCTTAAAAAAAAAGAGAGTTTCCACTTTATTTTGAAAGCTTATCTTCCCCTAAGAAAGATAAAGTAGGTGAGCCAAAGGAAAATTAGCCCCCTGGAGGAGGGGCTGTAGTCAAAAGCTAGCATTATTGGCAAGGGCTAAGTCTTATTCAGAGTGTAGACCTAAGGCAGTACATGATTGCTTGATCAGATGATGTCTTTAGATTTAATTCACTACCCCTTAACTTTCTCCACAAGAAGCAGCAAAACAAACATGAGGATTCAGCACCAATGAAGCCTCAATCCACAACAGTTTATTAACAGCTTGTCCTTTGCTGGCTACATCAGGACGGAGCACTCAGATGGTAGAGCTCTTCCTTTCAGGTGGGAGCATTAGGGGAAAGAGCACATAATGCCATTCCCATCTCTTATCTACTATGACTTACACGCAGGCATCTTTTCCTTTTGTTAGGTATCTGATGCTAAGAGTACTTGATTCATTTTGACTATGCAGGTAGGCTAAAAACAGAGTAAATGAAAATTTGTCTATAAACTAGTTAAGTAGTCCAAGAAGCCATTCCCCAACATCCAAGAGGGGAAAGTCATAATTGTATTAAAAATGAAAGAACTGCTAAAGAAGAGGTTTAAAAGGTATGGATTACTCAAAACAAATGAGGATTCAACAATTTACTCTTTAATCTATTAGACCAAAATTAACTACTCAAGCCACTAAAATCTTTAGAATGTCAATAAACATATGTGATAATATTTGCCAAAGTTGTTGCAAACTAGTGTGCTCTTTCTAACTTTCCAGCAAAGTATCGATTGCTGGATAACTGCCAGGACCTCTAAAGAAATTCATTTCTTCCAGTACTGTGCTTCAGAAAATGATCTAAGGAAAGGTAAGCAGCAGCTATGAACTAAACATTCCAAAAGGAGAAATATGCAAAAGTGTAATACAAATACCAAGAGAAGTGTTCTGAGATCTCTGCATAAAAAGTCATAAAATTCTTGCAAATAATAATAAAAAATATTTATTGCCTAGGTGACTAAATATTTACAAAGAAGTGAAGCTCAGATGGTCGATAAATTCTAGGGAAAAGACCAAGAGATCATGGAGAAAAACACTTCTTTAATTAACATGATAGCCAGAGGTAGATGGTATAATACAGTAGCATACAATTAAACATGCCACTTAAAAGTAAATATTATAAAGTTGGAAATTTAATAATTATGGAAAATTATATGAAGAAATTTTATAACTAGGAGTAATGAGAAATAATGGAAACAATAGAGTTTATGTGCTAGTTTTGATAAGGGAGAAGAACAGCTTAAAAGAGATGGTCAACATTAAAAGAGGACTCTTCACAGGAAACAGCCCAATTTTTCTATACTAATAGATTTTCTTATATCAGGATAATGCTTTTAGAATATGTGGTTTATTAATTACAACTATAATTTACATGTAAATATTTAAAATAAACATGCTCCTTTACCTATGGTATAAAAAAAAAATATTAATTTGGATTCCTAGAATGACCCAAAGAGAAATACTGTGTCCTATACATGACATTATTTTTCCTCTGCAAGTGCATGTCCTTTATAGCATAGTTTCTTTAAATCAGATCCATTAGGAAAAGGGTGTCTTTCTTGAGTTCCAGCAAAACAATTATTCCAAAATGTGTAGTTTTTATATAGAACCACTTAACACCTTAAATAACAGATTAGTTTCTTAGCATAAGATGCTATGCCAGACAATTAGCAGCCCTGGAAGAAATTTTTCTATAAAGAAAGCCAAGTGACCAGGTCTTAAAGCAGAATTGTTTGGGTCAGGCATGGTGGCATATTAAAGGATCTCAGACAGAAGGCTGCTGTTAGCACAAACTGATTCTGAAAAACTCATATAAAATCATTAGTGTAAAATCAAAAATAAGCATCATAAAAATTTTCCTTAAGTAAATTTTGCCTTAAAAAACACTATTTTTCACCAATATAGCTACACTAGCCATCTTCCAGTTCCACACTTATTTCCAGAACTCACCTGTCCCTCACATTCCTTAGTCCATTCTCCAGTTAAAACACAAATCAGATCACGTCATTAATCTCCAGTGACTTCCCATCATACTTAAATTCCTATTTCTCTTGATCCCATAGTCTATCACTCTTTCCTTCCTCACTATAGACACATTAGTCTTCTAGGTCCTCAAACACACCAACTTTGTTCATGTCTTAAGGCCTTTTGCACTTACTTTGCCTGGAATGCTTGGCCCTGAGCTTTTCACTAACTGGCTCCTTCTTGGGATTCAGGTCTTAACTGGAACATCACCTCTTCAGAGGTGACCTCCCTAACCACTTGCTCTAGAGTAGCCCTTGCAGGCAGGCTCCATCACCTCACATCACTGTTTTTGCTGTTTTCACATCACCTAAATGCCTAAAGTTATCTTGTTTTCCAAGTTGTTTACTTTGTTTATTGTTACTACAATATTAGCTTCAAAAGAACAGAGAACTTGTCTTGTTTACCACAGAATCTTTCGGGCCCAGCATGATACACACTGAGTCACTCAATAAACATGATTGAATAAGTAAATTACTTTAATCAGAATTTTCTCAAACCGTAAGTTCTAGTCTCTGACCCAGAGTATATTCACATTTATGTGTAGCAGGATAACGTTTGTAAAGTTTTATGAACAACATGAAACTATGCACTTGCCATAGGTACAATAATTACTTTGGGCTACACAACTCAGTTTGGTAGTAGGAGCTAAGTTTGGCATTCTCTTGGTTTTACAGCTGTGAGAACTGAGGTCAGAAAGTAAAACGTAAGAATTAATAAACATTTAATAATGAAAAAAACCCCAAAAAACTGTAAGTCAAAGGAAACTCAGAACAGCTTAAATCTCAAAGCACAACTAGGACTATTAACAACTGCCGTAACTTCTTAGAATTTATTCTTATTTGTCTATTTATGTGCATGTAGCACCCAGCACCCTACCTGACATATAGCAAGTATTCAAAACACGTTTAATGGATTATAAGATGCTTATTGCATAATTAGTTTAACAGATGTAAACCAGAATCTGTATTTTCTTTTAGCGCAATAAGTTTTTGTTTAACCTCTCACAGTAGATTCACAGTCTTCATGTTTAGCCTTGTAAGCAAAGCCTTTCTCTCCTACTGGAGGAAATTCTCAATAAAGCTGTCTGTTTTATTTCACCTGGTTATATATATTATCTCCACAGGAGACAATGACCTCAGGTAAACAGATCTGAGCAGCTTTGTTCAAATTTACAGAGATGCTACATGTGGAAGTGAAAATATCATCAGCAGAATCATCTACAGACTGCACAATTGTTTCTATTCCTGTAGCTACATGAAAATAGCCGGTATCAATATCAAGATGTGGAACAATAACAATAAAAATTAGGTTGTCAGCTTAATAGGAATTATGCAGGTTTAAATTCCATGCTGCACAATGCCCATTATCTACCAAGAGTAGCTCCTTTCTAATGTTCTATGATGTTTTAAATCATTAAAAAAGAAAAATGTTTAAGGCCCTTTTCCACAAATTCAAGATGTTAACCATTATCTTTGACAGGCAGCAAGTAAATTCAGCTTTTTTACATTGCTTTTTCACATGTATCATATCAAATAGAAAGTAGGGTCTGTAATAACCACATCCTAGCATATGGTTAATCTGTCACTGGAATTCAGCTCCATGTCCAGAGAATAAATAAAAGTAGAATTCTGAAGAACTAATTAAGTGAAGTTGATATGGGGTAATCATGAATAAAGTAATGAGAAAACAGAACTATGATAACATATAAAAGATCCAATATATTTGTTTCAAAAATCACAGTACAACATAAGTCAGTAAAAAGCTTTAACACTAACAGACTCATCTAAAACTAAAAAGTTCAAAAACAAGTTACATAATGAGGTGATGTTATTAATGGATATTTTAGTACTACAGCAAAAGGGATGTCTAAATCTGTATTACTGATAGTTAGAGGTTTTCTGTTAACAGAGTAATATGTGTAGAGACAGTATTGGGCAGCACAACATAACAGAAATATCACAGATTCTAACTTTTATTTACTGAATGTGTGACCTTAGGCAATTCACTCATCTTTCTGGATTCTTAAGTGTGCTCATTTGCAAAAAATGAAGGTAATAATGCTGTCTTCAATAATTATATCTCATAACATTACAGCGAGGGCTCAACAAGATAATGAATATAAAAGCATTTTACAAAGTATAAAACCCTACATAAACAGAAGTTATACCGTAGGGAGAAAAAAGTTAAATTTACCTTTATATGTTCTAAAACAGCAGTTGCAACATTTGTATGGAGATCAATAAGTCTTTTTTTTTCAAGGAGTTCTGGCAAAGAACTACAAGTATCAAAAAACTGAAAATTAACCATTAAATTTTCTAAGTAAATGACACAGACTTTAATAAAACTCACACCTAGGTGTTTCCTTTGAGGAAACTTGGAACAGTAAAACAGTGACAAAATGACTAATTAAACTCTTAACTGAATTTAATCTCTAGGTTTGAAGACATACAGTATTTACTACTTTAATACAGGTGAAATGCTTCTTATTTTAAAATAATCTGCCTCCCAAATATCATTATTTCCACCATTTCATTTTCTGATTCCAAAATTTGGAGATTTAGAATAAAATCAGACTAATGGAAATACGATTTTACCAATATTTCTAAAACACGTTTCCTCTCTCCTTGATGGCATTTAAAGTATCAAAAAGAAACTGCTTAAGCTTTAGCTAATAAAATAAGAGCAGCAATGAGAAAATTAATAATAACTTACATTACTTTATCACCAATACTATCTTCTTGGTAAAATTACCCCCAAAGAAGCAAATGATGTGCTATCTGTTAGAGGGAACTTGAACCAGCTGAAGCATGTTAACAGCACAAGTTAGTTCTTTAAACTTAAAGATATATGCTATTATCTACTATTTTCGATTATAAAAACTATTAACCAATTTTTTAACCTTCAAAATAAATCTTATCAACAGAAAGACTTCAAAGAGGATAGATTACTTACCTAACAGCTGACGTTAGCTTAGCAGTATTGTCAGAAAGCATACTTATGGCTCCTTCATCTTCCCCTTCTAGTCCCTGGGAAAGAAAAAAAGGTCCCAGTAACTACTCAGAAATCCCAAGCACAAGCATAAAAATTAAAATATTCCTAAGATCTCTGATAAACAGTAAAATTCAGTTAACTCAGAATAACAATTCTTCTCCTCTAAGGAGCAAGCACATGCATTTTTGATAGTTATAGAAAAGTTCTAGTCACCACCAGTCTAATAAATGGTTGGATGACTAAGAAAAGGATCAGCTGGTATTTTTAGGTAAAGAAACAGGCCCAGAGACCTGCCACAGGTCACAGAGGAATAAACAGGACAGCTGGAATCTGAAGTCAGATCAAAGTACAGTAGAATGAGCAGCACTGGAACACGTCTTTCTAAAATGAAGCCACATTATATATTTTTTCAAATCACAAAGTCATACTATTCTTTTAAAAAATGTTGCTATTCTCCTCAGCATTTACATTTCTTTTTAAAAAAAGATCTTTTATATAAGTTGAGAGTATTTTTGTTGTTAGTAAAGCAATGAATGGCCTTGAGTATTTACGAAAACTAAAAAAAAAATTAACCTCTTTCTCCCTCCCAGATGTCCTTCTGCTTCCCTATAATTCTTAGAAAGCAAACAGAATCTTACCATGATGCTTTTAAGTCGTTTAACCTCATCTTCCTGTGCTCTGTAAGATTCTAGTTCTTGCTGAACTGATTCTGCAACTTCTGGGAATGGACTGAAACAATATTGCACAAGAGGAACCATGAATATGACATTAAAAGATTGATTTTTGTGTATTTTGAAATATATACAGGAAGCACTTATTATCTGAAATGTACTTATTTTGATTTAAATGTTTTATATATAACATAGGCAGAAAACATTTAGTATAAATACAACCACATATCCTTGTGATATCTTTTATATCATAAATACTATTTCTTTAAAATGCCTATCACAATACTCATACATCTATAAACAAATTAAAATCTTATTTCTATTCTTTTTATTAACCATATCACATTTTCTCTTCACCTATATACTGTTAGGAAAAAAGGGAAAATATTTAAGTGACTGAAAAATAATGGAAAAGAAGTCATGATATATTAAACTTCAATTAAATATTGTCACCCAAAAAGTAACATATAGTCTCAAAGGGTCCATGCAACTATAAAAGACAGTATTTAAAAAATATTACATCAAGTAATTGTGGAAAAAAAATCTTTTAATTCTGTAAACTTAATATCCTAAAACACTACTGGTAAAAATAGAAAACAGGCCAAGTTTTGTTGGTCTAATGCCTGATATCTTCTTCCAAGCGAGCCAGTTTAGCAGTAATTTCCAGAGACTTCAGACACAACTGATCTGCAATCATTGAGCAGCTCAGGTAGAAAAAGTGTCACACAGCACTCATCTTGAATAATTGTAGATGAACATATGTTGACCAAGAAATGGCTCCTAACATGAATATTTTTCATCTACAGCCTGAGGAGAGGCCAGAAGCTTTCTCTCCTTTATGAAAGAAAAGGTCATGTCTCATCAGCAATGAAACAAAAACCTTTCCTCCCTCCTCAGCCCCAACACTTGAGAACACTGCCCTAACAATCAGCACATTTCATCCAACAGAGACTGACAGAAATGACAGAAGTTCCTGAAAGGATTTTGGAGAACAAGCCCAGTTTTACATGACAACTGCAGGCACTAACCCCAGCTAACCCCACTAACTCCAGCCCCAGCAGAGTTTATGTTGGCAAGAAACAGCACTGAGCATGTAAAATGTGCTGGTTGAACTAGATGATCCTGAAAGTCTCCACTATCTTCAGGTCTCAGAGCTAACAGACAACCGCTTACATTTACTGAGTGCTTACTGTATGCCAAACACTACGCTAAGAATTTTCTCTATTCTCTCAGTTAATGCTAACCCCAGTCTTGGTGAAGTACACAATAGTAACAGTAAGACCAGGGACTTCAGGATCTGCCAGAACTGGGTTTTAATGAGAGCTGGATGACTTTGGGCAAGTTACTCCTTTCTATTACTTCCCTTAATCTTCATATCAACCTTCTGAAATAGGGCAATAGGTATCATTAGCATTCCCACATTTTACTGATGAGGAAACTGAAGCTCAGACAGATTTAAGTCATGTGTTTAACTCTACGCTGTCTCAGTGTCTTTGTGCCACATCATCATTATAGTACCATATTCAGAGTGAAGGCTAGTCAGGGCTATTCCTATGTACAGACAAATTATTAAAGTTCTTACTATTCAAATGAATTTCTCAGATTGTTCCTAAACATGTTTAAAGAAAATATTCAAAATTTCCATATTTGAATGAAGAGTTTTTGTGTTTTTTTAAAGACTGGCACCTGAGCTAACATCTGTTGCCAATCTTTTTTTTTTTTCTTCTTTTTCTGCTCCCCAAAGCCCCCCAGTACATAGTTGTATACTGTAATTGTGGTCCTCCTGGTTGTGGCATGTGAGACGCCGCCTCAGCACAGCCTGACGAATGGTGCCATGTCTGCACCTGGGATCTAAACCAGTGAAATCCTGGGCCACCAAAGTGGAGCATGGGGACTTAACCACCTGGCCACGGGGCGGCCCCCAAGAGACTTTTCCTTAAGTTTTTCTCTATTAGGGAATGTGAACTTTAGAATTAACTTTAAAATATCCTCCATCTTCTATAAATAATGTAAATGTAATTTCTTGCACTTCATCCTTCTGGAAGGAAATGTAGCCTATGGAATTCCAAAGAGAAAAAAATAATTTAAAACAAAATAAATTGTAACAGTATCTAAAATTGCCATAGGCAGAAAGAGTAAGATAGTGACTTTTCTCTGCAAAGAAAAATCAAATTCTTTGTTGTAGCAATGTGATTTTCAAGTGTTTAAAAAAAAATTATAAATAAAAAAGATAAGGCATACAAAAAAACCCAGCACATTGAACCAAGTCTATATCCTACTTCTCTTTAAATATTAATGAGGCCAAAAAGAACAGCCATATCAAGGACATAGATACAGTAAAATTTAAAATATTCAAAAATAATAAACAACATTGTATTTCAATAATTATTAATGAGCAACATTCTTTTTTCTCTCAGAGGATGAATTTTCATTTATTTATCTTTTAGGTGAGGAAGATTGGCCCTAAGCTAACATCTGTGCCAGTCTTCCTCTATTTCGTATGTGGGATGCCACCACAGCATGGCTTGATGTGCGGCGTGTAGGTCTGTTTCTGGGATCCAAACCTGTGAACCTTGGGCCCACTGAAGTGGACTGCACAAACTTAACCACTACACGACTGGACTGGCCCCTCAGAGCAACGATTTTTTTTGTTTGTTTAGAATGATTTCTCTAGCCATAATAACTGCCAGATAACTTTTATAACAATTACTGAGCCCACGAGGTACCCTAAACTTTAAGACGACATAGCAACACATGGGATACATATATTTGCCTACAACAAATCATGTGGCAAATTATTACAATTTTTTCACCTATTATTTTTAATGTACTGTGAATAAATCTGTTTTTCAGGCTTAAGTGTTCTCGCCACAGATATCTAAAACTGTCTTTTTATAATGGAAAACATGGAACAAAAAGGAAAAATCACACCTCATTGTTTCCCTGTCACAAAAACCTATTTTAATGAAAGGCAGAAATGACCCATCACAGAGGGTCAGTGACGATAACGACAAAATTTAGAAAGACAAATCTACAAAATCAAATGGTATGAGCTTACTGAAAAGAGAAGCAGCCCCTACAAAACAACTAACAAAAACCCTAGGAATCAGGAAGAAATTGAGCAACAAAGATACATATCTATAGACTATTTAATAAAAGCTCCTACTCATTGTGTAGATGAACCAGCATGACTTCTTTGATTTATTTAATCAAATTCATTAAATTCGATGACATCATTTCTTTTTAGAGGTTTACTTACTGATTTTTTCTTACTTACCTTCCTTTATGTTTCTGCCAAAATTTATCAACTGGAGTTAAATCATAAGACTTTTTGTTTTTTCTCTTTGGTCTAGCACCAGCTGGAGAGTTTTCCACTCCTGAAGATTCTTCCAAATTAACTCTGTTTAAGTGGAAATCCTAGGAAAACATAATACTGTTTTAAATAACAGTTTTCTGAATTTAAGTACCATAACATTTCCTACAACAAGGAAAATAATCTACACAGATTCTTGTCTTTTCTAATATTTCCAAGGACAAAACACAGATGTGAAAATTAAAAGACCTCCTTCTAATGTTTTGTTACACACACATGCACTTTTATTTATTCTAATTAAAATAATAGATGTATATGATTGAAATTTTAAAAAATACACAAAAAACCGTGTAAGTTTCTCGTGTATCCTTCTAGAAACATACTTTTGCATATTAGCAGCATACACATATACTTCTAATTTTACTTTAAAGAATAGGATTACATTATCCATTTTGTAGTTCACTTTTTCTTTTAATAATGTATTTTAGAGCTCTTTCCCTATCTGTATATGTACCTCTACCTCATTTTTATCAATGGCTACACAGTAGTCCAATATTTGGCTGTATCTATTTATTTGACCAGGCCTCTTGATGCCTAGTTCTTTCCAGTAACAAACATAATCTTAAATATAATTTTTAAACTCTTAGAGATTCTTAACATTCTGATGGGTTACTTGATTGGATTGCATTTAAAAAAAATTACAATAGAAGCTACAATAATAACAAAACTCCTTTCACATAAATTCTAAGAGCTAGTTAGACCAGTAGTACTTGCTAAACTTGTCTGCCTAGAACTAACTTTACTCATGTGAAGCTTGATTTTTTTGCCCTTTCTCAAAAAAAAAGGAAAAACAACAAAACCAAACCATACAAAAAACAAAATAAGAGTGAACATCTTTTTTATCCTTTCCCTCTCCCCTTCTTGCATTAGACCTGTGGGTTCCTTCATGTAAGAGCACTTCAACTCTACTCTGAAGAATAGTGAGCTAGAGATAAAACATGGCTATCAATAAGTGAGTTAATAAATGATGACCAAGCAAGAAATTACATGGAGAATTATCTAGCATGAGTGTGATACAATTATCTTAGTTCTAAGATATAAGTTTTTGATTAATGATTAAAGTTCTAGGTCTTAGCAAATTGAATGTACTGAATACAATTTAATCTCCTCCTGATAAAATAAGGTCATCAATACTGAGTCTAGATCCTTAGACCCTACCAGGTAACTTTCTCAGATAAATCCTTTACAACAGCTTACTTCCTTGCCATTTTCCCCTATGACATGAAAAAAAAGAGTACAAAATATATAGATGTCTAATTGCCATAGTGGAGTAAGTAACAAGTTTATTGACAAAGAAGGGTACACTGTTATATTTCAACCTGTTAATACTATGTCCTTCCCATAGACTCCTCATATTATCATAGGATAAACATATCAGTAACCTTATTTAATTCCTCTCACTTTCCCATCCCTATATCTTAACCTCACTTTGCACAACAAATCATGCATATAGGCAGAAAGTAAATATAGCACAATTGTGAAAAACTATTTAAAACAATAGATATTAATAGCTACATCTGAGAAGAACCCATTTTTAAAAATTACCTAACAAAACAAAAGATACTGAAGAGAAACATTTTTCTATAGTTGTTTTATTAACTAGAATTTCTAGTGAAGTTCTACTTCCATGGTGATGACACAGCTCATTCAAAATAAAAGTAACTTGTTAGCAAAATTACTGCTCTAAAAATAGGAGAGCATGTTATTATTGAAGTATTGATAGAATACTTAAAAACACAAAATGATAAAGGAATAAAAGATGTTAAGAGTTTTGAGAAATAACATAGTAGCGGCAAGAACATTTCTATTGTTTGCATAACAGCCAGGCAAATAATGAAAAGTAATTTCAATGTTGAAAACTGGGAAATTAGAACATTCTGTGCTGTACTCAACCACGTTAAAGAAACTATACACAAAAAAAAGACAACAGAATTGGTTTTAACGTGGTAGAGTCTAACATGTTTCCACTGATATTCACAATTTCCTTACTTAGAAGACTGAACAAAGGTGTCCCAAATCACCAGATACAAATAAATCCCATTGGGAAGGGCTAACCACATGGATAAGTCTTCAGCAGTCTTGTTTTCCTTTCATAAGCTAAAGCCGATCAGTAGAACCAGACAGAGCTAAAGTAACAAAATTACCTTTGGATAATATAGGTGATACCTATTTATGCAGAGCTAAGATTACATTTACATGAGAAAAAAAGCATAATAAAATAAAAGTAACTTTTATTTTTGACAAAGGATTGAGCCAAATCTAATCAAGTCTCTAGATCTACCTGTTTATAGAAAATGCTGGGGATGGAGAAACATGTCAAATTGTAACCCACAAAGATACAATCAACCAAACGCAGAAATACAGGAAATTCTTTAGAAAAACAATCCAATTCCTTCAACCAAAAAATAGTAATAGAAAAACAGTGGGAAGAGAGAAATTGTTGCAAATTGAGAAAATAAAAGATATATCAACCAATGCAATGTATCGTTTGGATACCTATCTGAAGAAAACAACTGTAAAGATGTACCTTTGAAACAATTAGAAAACAGTGAATACAGAGCTAGTATTAGATATTACCAAAGAATAACTATTAATTTTGTTGAGTATGATAATAAAATTACAGTATTTTTTTTCAAAGATATATGCAGTAGCATTTATATATAAGATCATATAATGCCTGGGATAAGATGTGTAAGATGCATATTGCCCAGGAAGCCAAACAGTGCACATGGAGGTTCATAATAGTATTCTATTTGTGGTTTTATATGAAATATTCCCTAACAAAAGTCCTAAAATTTTACAAGAGACAGGACTTAAAGTACAACCCACAACTGTTTGCCCCTTGCCATAGTGATTGTGAAAGTATGTGTTGAGATGGGGCCTCGTCACCCTGAGTTCGTGAGTGACTGATGAGCAGAGCTCCCCTCCCCACCACCCATCCACATTGGACAAGGAACATGAAATACTGTGAACAAAAAATAAATATTGGTTATTTTGATCCACTGAGGTTTGAGGGTTTATACTGAGCAACACAACCTGACCTATCCTAATTCAAAGGCCAAGGTGTTCTACACAGATTCAGCAATGTCAGGGACACTTCGATAAGCTTGTTCACGTCTGTTAAAACAAAATTCCCCATAATTCTAGGAATCACGAGCCAGAAAACTGCCCAGAGATACGTCGTTGGCAATGTGCAATATTTTCTATCAGTCTTCATGTAATAATCTCAACTTATAAGCTATTTATTCAGTCTCTAAACCAGTAAACAATTTGGGCCTTAATGATTTAGAAATGCACTGCCCAATACAGTTACTACTAGTCACGTGTAGCTACTGAGTACCTGAAGTGTGGCTAGTCTGAAATGAGATGTGATGTACATATAAAACATACATCCAACTTTTAAGACTTGTTATATAAAAAGAGAATATAAAATAGTTAATGTTTTAAATTGTTTACATGTTAAAATACTAATATTCCAGATATACTGGGTTACACAAAACGTACAAATGAAATAAATTTCACTTGTTTCTTTTTATGTTTTTAATATGACTATTAGAAAATCTAAAATTACATGTGTAGCTTGTACTGTATTTCTGTTAGCACTGATTTAGAAACACTGAACTTTGGCCAATGATAACAAGCAGGGACAGAAAAGAAGAAAAGTACAGAAGACAAAAAAGGAAAGAAAAATCTAATTTAGAATATTTGTAAGAATCACTTAATTAAAAAAAATTCTTGTAAAATGCTCTATCATAAACATAGACAAAATAAATATCTCAAAATCTTATGTGCTAAGCAAGTAGAATATAAGGGGGAAAAAAGGTAGTACCTAAAGCTAGACTAGTAAATAGTAAATACTACACTCTCTTCTTTCCCTTAAATAAAATTTTAATCCAGAATTAATATGAATGAATATGGGAATATATAGAAATAATACCACTTTAGAAAAATGAATGAAATCAGGCTGTCTTCTGGGCTTTTACATAGTCTACACACCTTTAGCAGGAACTTCCTCTGAACAACTAGTTTATACAGTTATCAACACTCTGGGTTTGGAGTAAATGAGTAAAAGTTTACATCATAATTTTGACTTCTAGGCAAATGCCTGAAACTAGTCCAACACAGTGCTGTCCAAGAGGTCTTGTGTTAGTAAAGACTAGCAGACCCAGAGAGCATCAACCTCCAAAGCATCAAACTTTGCACTACACTTAGGCATCCAGTGTACTGCAGTCACACATCTTTAAGAAACTGAGTGCTTCTAAAATGCCTTTTTAGTAACCTTTTAAAAGTATATATTGGGGCCAGCCCCGTGGGCAAGTGGTTAAGTTCGTGCACCTTGCTTCGGCAGCCCAGGGTTTCGCCAGTTCGGATCCTGGGCGCAGACCTAGCACTGCTCATCAGGCCATGCTGAGGCGGCGTCCCACATAGCACAACTAGAAGGACCCACAACTAAAATATACAACTACGTACTGGGGGGCTTTGGGGAGAAGAAGGAAAAATAAAAAATAAAATCTTAAAAAAGAAAGTATATATTATTTTGGAAACTTCTTCCTTTTTTTTTGAATGGCAAGAAAAAAGTAAACTTTATTAAACTCCCTATGTGTACTAGTACAAATTCTGATTTAATCTTTCAAATAATAAGAGTTACTAGCAGGGAGCCAAAGGCATAAAAAGGGCATCTAAGATTTGAAAAAACAAAGGCCAAGTAAAGGACAAGATACTGAGATGAAATAACAACCATCCCTTTGCCTAAGGGCGACCGCTCATTACAGCTGACAATCAAAGCCACTCCTCCCATAACCAACATACAATAAAAAGGAAGGACAACTTTCTAATTACTAACTTCGCTTCTTATATCCCAATAAAAAGGAAGACGCATTGCAAAGTTTTTCACGAGAAGAATGTATTTCCCATGTTAAATGACAACAATCATCTTTCTGGCATGCAGGGAAGCTATGTGAATTTTCATAATTGTTTCCAAGGTCTGAGATATAAATATTATCAGTGTTACAGATTTTCAGGCAAAGATACTTAATATAAAAGTTGCAAGTTAACAGTTCCTTTCAAGAACTTTTACTCCATCTTGTGGAGGTAAGGGTGTAATTATTAAGAATTTTAAAAGCTTGGAAGAAACTTCAAAAAGTTTTAACAATCAACAAAAAATGGCGTGGTTAGAATTTACGACGTTTCAGTTATAGTTTTTTCACGTCTAGAAACTGCATTAAAATTAATGAACAGGACTAGTCAATGTAAATCGTGTAGTTTATTATAACCAATGTCTTCAAAGAGACTATTTTCATAAGACCTAAATATTCTAATAATGTTACTAAGAAAAGACTGCTTAAAGGCTAATATGGAATCTGAGCAACCAGCCTAAGAAACTTAACTAGAGCTGTGCACTGCTCTACTATTTATAATAACAGAAAATGAAAGCAATAGTAATCCAAATGTTCACAGGGGTCCATCATTCTAACCTCCATGCAAGCAGGGAGCATGTCTGCTGTGTTCACCTTGTATCACAGTGACTAGCACAGTGTCTGGTACAGAGCAGGCACTTAATAAATATTTGTTGAATTGAATTCTTTGGAGACACCAGGCTGCCAACTTTGATTCTGTGAAGTTAAGATTAGAATAAAACCAAACAACCTCACCATCTACTTTCACCATTTTGTATTTTTAAAAGGGTATTTAAACTTCAGAGTAGGAAATAAAAATTAATATATTTCACAAGGATACAAGGATAATAAAAGGTAAAGCACTAAAAAAAAAATTAGTATAAAGGTCAGTCACAAAAACTCATGTCATAGTCATTATTTTCATTTGACTCTGGAACAGTGAAAACCTCAAGGGCCAGTATTAGCCTTGTCTGCTTTTGGGGAATCTCTGCACTAAGTTACGTTGCCCAGTTGTCTCTGCTGACAACTCTCTTTCTGACAATGGGGACGCAGAGCATATTACTTTATATTGCAATTACTGATACATATGTCTTATCTCTTACACTCAAAGCATCGTGTAGTTTAATTTCCTCCCTGAACCGTTCGAGTTTGGGAATTAGAAAAGATCCCAGTATCTCAATGCTCTATATAGCCTCCACACACCTGGCAGGAGTGAAGAGGTGACCCCTGATCTATATGCTCTGATTAAAACCCTCACCCCTCACTCCCACCCAACAGTCAGGGCCCCCCCTACCAAATCTAATTTGAGACTATCAAAACTATCTCATCACAAAAAAAAACCAAAAAACTATCTCATCACATCCATTAATCCTTGTATGGCTCTCTTACTAACCCCCTTCAGATCCCTTCTCTTGTTCTTACTCAACTCCTGAAACCCTTCTGCCATACCCTCTGGAACTCACAGTCATCAGCAAAACCTCCTATTCGGAACATCTACTCTAAACTTCCACTGGACTTTCTTGCTCTAACTGAACTCCAACTTGCTACCCACTGTAGCCTTCTCAAACGGTAACCTTCCTTTTTTTTTTCCTTGTCACAGATCTCATGTCATTGGACCCAGGATCGGGATAGGCGTCTTCCTTGCTACTCTCAGACTCTTTAAGTGTCCTCTTCCCTAAAACAACTCCAGCTGTGAAACTCCTGTCATCAGCCCCTAACAGTAGTTCTCAATCAGAGGCAATTTTGCCCCTCTCTACCCGGTGGGTATATTTGGCAATATGTGAAGACACTTTGGTTGTCACAATTGAGGGAGTGCCACCTAGAGGGTAGAGACCAGGGATGCTGCTAAATATCCTACCATGCATAGGACAGCCCCCCACAACAAAGAATTATCAGGCCCAAATTTTCAACAATGCCGAGGTTGAGTAATCCTGGTCTAGTCATCCTGGTCACTAATGCCTCCTACAGACCTACAGGACATTCTTATCTCCTTGGTCAACTTTTCTCTTTTGATCATTCTCATTGATACACAAACATGCTGTAATTTCTCTTATTTACAAATCTTTTCTTGACCTCACATTCTCTTCTAGCAACCACCCTTTTTCTCAGCTCTCCTATACAGCAAAACTCAACTTTAAGGTTTGTCTATACTCACTCTTTTATGTTTCTCCTTCCATTCTCTTAGACCCACTTAGGTGTTTTGCCCTACACTATGGAAGCTGCTCTTACCAAAGTCACTAATAACCTTGACATTGCCATATGCAACGGAGACTTCTTAATCCTTAGTATTTGTCCAAGTTGATTCCTGCTTCCTCTTTGAAACATTTAATTCACTGACTTCCAACAGAACACAGATCTAGTTCTCAGACGTCACTGGCTGCTTTTTACTACATTATATTACTGGTTCCTGTTCATCACCCTGACCTCTAAATGTTGAAATGTCTGAGTGCAGTTCTTGGACCTCTTCTCTCTTCTATCTACACTACTTCCCTTGGTGATCTCGTCTTATCTCTTGGCTTTAAATATCATCTATATATGGACTACTCCTAAATACATTTCCCTAGACCAGATGTTTCTCCTGAACTCCAGACTCATATATCCAACTATCTATTTGAGATCTACATTTGAGTATCTTAATAGGCATCTGACATCTAACATGTCCAAAACTCAGTATCTGATCTTCCTCCTGAAATGCTCCTTCTGTGTCTTTCCTGTCTCAATAAATAACATCTATCCATTTGCAAAGGCCAAAACCTTGGAGTCATCTTTGACTCTTCTCTTTCTCTTAGATCTCACATCCAATTCATCAGCAAATCCTATACTCTACGTTCACAACCCTCGCCACTTCCATTCTGATCTAAGCCACCGTCATCTTTTGCTAAGATAACTGCAACAGCCTCCTAATTGGTCCTTGATTCCTCCTATGCCCCCAAAGAGTTTGTTTTCAACAAAGCAACTAGAGTGATACTCTTAAAATGTGCACCAGATGTTACTCTTTTACTCAAAACTGTGACTGGCCCCCCATTTCACTCAACTTTTAAGTCAATATCCGTACAATGGCCTATAAAGTCCTATGCTATACCGCTTCCAATGTCCTTTTTAACATCATCTCCTGCTACTCTTTCCCTGTCTTAATTGGCTGTGGCCCGCTTGGCTGTCTTGCTGTCTTTTTAAGCATGTTAGACATCCTTCTGCCGTAGCCTCCCATATAGCTACATACCTCACTACCTTACCTCCTCCAGATCTTCCTCACATCTCTCTTTTTCAGTGAGGTCTTCCCTATTTAAAATTGCAATCTGGTTCACCATTATCTACTTAATTTTCCTCCAGAGTATCTTCTACCTTCTGAAATGTTACATATTTTATTTATTGCCTGTCTCTCCTACTAGAATGCAAGCTCCAGGAAGAAAGGAATATTTACATTTCCTTCATTTATTGCTAAAATCAGGGTCTAGAATGCTCTGTCAGAGAGCAGGCACTCCAATAGTAGTTGAATTGAATTCCGCTTCTTCAGCCTCTTAAATAATCTCCTAAAACTAGTTACCCTGTTCCATTACTCCGGGCTTAATTCAGTGGTTCCCTTTGATTCTTCTTGCCCTCTTTACTGAATCAGAGTTGACTACCATTTCAGTGACACTCAGCCTAGAGTCTAGAATGGCACAGGACTCTAGGACAGAGAAGTGTGCAGAACTGCCAATTTCTATCACTAATCCTGAAATCTGATTTTTTAAAGAAATCCTTTACAGCTAGAATCTGGGTTTTAAAGAAATAAACTGTTAAATGAAAATCATCTAGTACATATTTTTCATTTCCTTTCTATATGATAATTTCAGACAATCTTTGCAATAATGATAGTAATGTATACCATAATCCCTAGAGGCCTGGGCCAGCAGTTAGAAAAGCAGAGTACTAGTCTTGGCAGAGGCAACAATTTGGGTTCAAATCCTTTAACTTCTGCATCTCAATTTTTCTATCTACCAAATGATAACTATTTTGGCTCTATTACAGCATCTTGCACAGAAATTACTTGTGTACAGATTTTCTTCCCATTGCCTTTGAAGGTTGAGATTTGTTTTATTTATCTGTGGGTATCACATGCTATACACAATGTTTAGTAGAAGAACATATGCATGAATAAATGCAGATTTTTGTTTGAAGTGTAAAATTACATAGGTGGAATTACTTCAGAAAACATATGGTATAATATAAAAAATAGGATTTATTTTTACCACAAAATAAGGCTTAACTGACTCTCAGAGAAAAGGGAGAAATTATAGCTTTTCTCCCCAGGGAGAACATATCTATTTACTTATTCAGTGTGAAAAAAAAAAAAAGTCACTTATTTTCCTCCATTCCTTTTTTCCCATCATTGCCAACAATACCACTGATTTATCCTATAAAGATCATAAATTTCGAACTGTAAACTTCAATGCTTCACTATTCTCCAGCATCCACATCCAGTGATACCAAATCCCATCACTTCTTTTGTTCATATTACTCAGCTCCATCATCTGTGTTTCTGTAATTTTAATTCATGCTAATTTTAAATTAACGGGACCACTGAATGTTACTACATTTTAGTAGAAAGTGGTATATTTAGCCTCTTACCAGTACATCATGCACCAAGGCTTGATATGTCCAAGTATGGTGTAAAGGAGTTGCCAAATCTATGTTTCTGTCAACAAGGACTAATAAAGGCCTTTGGAAGCTGTAAATATATTAAAAAAAATTATATAACTCTTGATACCAGTGTATACATCCAGGTTTTTCTAATACTTTCCAGTACATATTTGTCATTTTGATATGAACAATAGGTATGCTAATACTGACATTCCATAATACTTTGCTTTTTAAAATATTTTCTATTACAGTCAGTCAAGTAAAGTAATGCTTTGGACTACTTAGAGCCTGTTTCTAACACTAGATAATAAGTCTTATTTAGGGTCTTTCTTAAAGGACAAAATCTATACAAATGCTTTTACAGAATAATTTTTACAGTTATCAAAGTAAGAATAAGTTACTTCTACTCAGATTTATATTTCACATTTTCAAAAAAGGAGAAAAAAAGAACAGCCACTATCAACTTCAGGGAAAAAAATTAAATCGAGCAGGATCTTATAAATTCACACAAATGTTTGACAGTTTCATAAATTACAAATTACAATTTTTTCTGTAAACAGAAATTCAAAAAAGCAGACTCTAGAAAAGAGCCGCACAAAACCCTATCCCATTATAATAGATAAAATTAAAACATCATACCACAATGGTACTTAAATAATTATTCACTTACCAGACGCTTCATATGTTGTTTAACTCTACTATTACAATATATATGGGAAACAGACTACACCTAAAGCAAACTGAGGCACAAAGTCATTTGGTTACCATGTGTCTCCAAAGCTTGTAGAGATTTGCTTTACAGGCACTACTGGATCAGGAGTATACACTGATTTTCAAAAGGCAATGCTATCTGATTATATTAACTATACATATTTTTTCTGGTAAGAGACTTGTGACCATTTTAGTAACTCAGTACACCTACTGGGTGTAAGACAGTGGATTCTCCAAAGTGCACTGATTATAGTACTCTGTGATAAAAAGCAGGAGCAGCACCCTTACTGCCTACTATCCTTTATTACTTCAGAGCCAGATAGAAGCCAAGGGAGCATAGCCTACAGCAGGTTTTCTTAACTCAGCACTACCGACATTTGGGGTTGGATAATTTCTCATTATGGGGGTTGTCCTGTGCACTGTAGGATGTTTACCATCGCCCTATAACACACACCCCTAGATTCCAGTAGTATCTACCCAGTTGTGACAACCAAACATGTCTCCAGACATTACCAATGTCCTGTGGGGGGCAAAATTGCCCCTCATTGAGAATCATTAGCCTACCGTTGGACTCAAATACATTTAACAATAGTCCAACAAGGTCGCTGACCCCTAATTAAAATAATTTAGAAATGCATCCAACACACTAAAAATAAGACAATCATATTACGATAATGTGAATTTTAAAAAATTATCCAATTAAAATAGTGCCTTTATATTGGTTTCTAAGGCCTACACCAGAGCACTATAAAAAGGGAACTATTAAGTAAGGTATGACATACTGGTTGCTTCTGTTGGAAAAAAATTAGGTGAGAATTTGATTTTTCTGCTCTACTTAATAAGAAACATTTTGAAGAATATTTAAGACCAGCAATGAAATCATAGAACAGTTTAAAATAACATGGGACCTGAGAGAGAGAGAGTTGAATAAACAATTGAAACACAATATTAGTGCTAACTCCAAATTATAGAAGTAGTACATAAGACTGCAGGAGAGATCCATCAACACTGACTTGAAATGAACTCTGTGGAAAGTTACCATGAAATTATTATTTCTGGAGGGCAGTTACACTGAGTATCCATTTATTTTCACAGGCTTTATTTATTAATTAACCTAAAACAGGGGGGTAAGAATTAATTTTCTGAAATACTGTCTATTCCCCTTGAAATAATTCTCAGCAATTTGTGTGGGTTTCTTTACTTCACCCCAATATTGTGCATTATTTTAATAATCAAAAGTTAAATGTACCATAATGTATAGGTTTTTATTCATTTATTATTTTTTAAAAATCTTTTTTCTTTTCTTTTTTTGAGGAAGATTAGCTCTGAGCTAACATCTGCCACCAATCCTCCTCGTTTTGCTGAGGAAGACTGGCCCTGAGCTAACATCCATGCCCGTCTTCCTCTACTTTATATGTGAGACGCCTGCCATAGCATGGCTTGACAAGCAGTTTATAGGTCCACACCTGGGATCCAAACTGGCGAACGCAAGGCTGCTGAAGTGGAGCATGTGAACTTAACTGCTGCACCACAGGGCTGGCCCCGATGTATAGGTTTTTAAAAAGTATTTCTATTCAATAATAATTGAGCAGCCAGTAACTTTGGCATTATCCACTCATGCTAGAAATGTTAACTGACAAAAATTCTTTGCAAATTTAAGCTATTAGTATTTCAAGAGAAAAAGGGAAACTAGTCAATAGGTAGAAATAGATATAAGCATCAAAAGTATTTTACTTATTTTTTTTCACTACCAACAAACTTAATGATAACTGAAAAGAAATGGCTTCTGATCTTCAGTTACATAAACAGAAAAATTTCTCTTACAAAGGATAAAAATGCAAAACAGAAACTTCTAACAAAGGGTAAATTAAATAATATATTCCATTTGTATTTCAAGAACAATTTGAGTCAAAAACGGATTCTGATTACTTCATTAAAAATAAAAACAAATTTCAATTACAAGAGTATTGTATCAGACAAGAAAAACAATCTAGAAAACTTGATAAAAGTTTCACCTTCAAGTTCTATAACTGTATTAACTAACATAGTACCTGAATTGGCCCGCTCCAAGAGTGTCACCTGTAAAAAGACTGTTTCTTGCATCTCTTAGATTTTCCCGAAGTTTCTTATCTAGTTTCTGAAAAATCAAATTTTATATTAACTGTTAAAGAATAGTTTTACAGAACTTTATATAGGATAATACATAACATGTTCTTAGATTCATAACCAAGAAACCCGGAATTTCTTTATAAAATAGCAATTCTAAAAGCTAAATATCTTAGCTTCTTTACTATTCAATATCATCATAACTTGGACTTGAAAAGACCAATGCCTTTTCTACTGTGACTCAGGCCTGATTTCATTAAGAAGTACTTTTGTTGAGTACTTTTACTATAGGTTCAGAAAACGCTCTGCCGTAATGACCGCTCCCATCTCCCCAGGTATGACTGTTGTACCAAGGAGGCTGTCTGTCTATATAGTGGTGGCTGCAAGAGTCTCCAGAATAAAAATGGAATACATGAAAGAAAACAGCTCTCCATGAGGCAATGATGCATTTGAGCTAATAAAACTCAAAAACATTACTGTATCTTCCTCCATCTTTCCACACCACTCACCCTCTTTCCTTTTCAATAATTCTGAAATTTCTCTAATCCTTTATTTATTTATTTTGCCAAGGAAGATTCACCCCGAGCTAACATCTGTTGCCAATCTTCCTCTATTTTGTATGTGAGTGGCCACCACAGCATGGCCACTGAGAGAAAAGTGGTGAGGTCCATGCATGGGAAACAAAGCTGGGTCACCAAAGCAGAGCATGCAGAGAGGCTACTGGGGCTGGTCCTCTAATCCCTTATTTATTTTTTAATCTTTAAAGCAAATCTCTGAATGCTCAATTTATACTGAATATTGTACTCCAGTATAGTGGGGCAGCAAAATGCATTACACCATTTTAAAAATGGTTATGATTATTAATAAATACTTGCTAAATGAAGTTAATAGTAAATGATTTTGGGGATCAAATATAAGTGTAAAATACTACTTGGAGAGACAAGGCTGAATGAGGAATATGCAGTGTAGTAAAAAAGAAACAGGGCTGGACTAGCACATTGGAGTAAATCATTTTATTCCATCACACAGAAGTACATGATGGTTACTTTTTATTTTTGGTGGAATCCCAACGTTATAAGATAAAAATATTTGCCTTTGGTAATTAATATATAATCCATAGCAATCATATACTTAACATAAACAAAAACACTTGAGGTGCTTACGGAAAACAACTGACACAGTATTATTTATCCCTGATGGATATTTGTGTGAACTCACCACTGCTACCATTTCTGCTGCTGTTCCTCTTGAACATCTGATTATAGGAACGGCACCTATTTTAAAAATACATGTTAGCAATAATTTCAGTTTAATAATTAAAATGGATACAGCCATGTGCCACATAACAATGTCTGAGTCAACAGTGGACTGCACATGTAATGGTGGTCCCATAAGATTAGTGCCATATAGCCTAGATGCGCAGTAGGCTATGCCATGTACGTCTATGTAAGTACACTCTATGACTTTCACATGATGACGAAATCACCTAATGACTCATTTCTCAGATGTATCCTTTCCATTAAGTGATGCATGAGTGTAGTTATAAAATACATCAGCATCAAAAAATAACATACAATAGAGGTATACAATTTCAGGCTACAAACATAAAAGGACTTACAATCTTAAGAGTAAAAGCAATGTTTCAGAAATGGACCTTCTCATTTATAAAGAAAACATTAGGGAATGAGAAAAAGACTATTTTTATATGGTGTTGGCCCATCAGTGTCTCCAGATTTTTTTCAATGAATTGACTAAATCAGCATTTTGATTCCCTGCAGGCAGTTTCAAAGAGTAAGTTTACTCTCCACTCTCAGGGTTCACTTTAATGTGACTTAAAGGAAAAGAGCTTAGCTAATTTAGCAGTTTAGAATTGTTACTTTTTATTTTATAAATTAACAATGTAGGATTATAGTCCCTTTTTTAAAATACTAATTTGAAAGATAACAGAAAACACATTCTTCACATGCTATGAAATGCTCCTAAAAGTTGGTTTCAATTCATTATCGAATCAACTCATTAGACCTCTTAATTTCTCTCTCTTTTTATTATTCTAAGTTTTATCCAAGGCTAAAAATGTAAAATGACAGAAAAAAATCAAACTGCACTAAAAATCTCATAAAACAAACTGAGAACATTGTAATCTTTATATGCTGAAATTGTTACATTTTAGATTCTATACAAAGCATGCTCAGTGAATTGCAAAAGTAAAAATGCGGAGTATTAGCAAGTTTTTAAAAACTTTGTTTTCTTCTGATGGCAAGTTATACATGCTTGTCACAAAAAATTCAAATACTATTAGATACGCATAAAGTTAACCCTCTTGATTCCAGCACCCCAAATGATCCCCACTAAGAATCAGATACAGAGGCTTTCACGTTATTTTCTACACAGTCTAAATAAGGGTGTTTGTGGAATGTATAAAAAACAAAAATAGGATATTGTACATACTGCTCTTAAATTTGTTTTCTTTCATTTAACAATTTATTGCTGACATCCTTCTATGTCAGACTGGCAGCAATTTCAACTACGTCTTTGAAAAAATCACGTTCTGATACTCTACATAATAAAGGGAGAGCTACCACTTCAGTGGTCTTTATTTATACTTTTCTTTTTCAATCTACCCTGACTTTGAAAGCAGAGCATTAACCAAGCAAAAATAACCTTAAATGTCCACAATAACTCCCGCATTCAGCAAAATTTTGAAGATGGTGTGGGATGGCAAAATAGAAAGATTAATTATGTCTGTTTAACAACTAAGAGTTGTATACACGTACTTTCTTTAAAAAAAAAACAACAACAACCCCATTTGAAGGTACTGAGAGCAATCAAAAGCAGGCAGAAAATGGAAGAAGGTAAAACTCTTCGAAGAAGAGATCTCCTTGAAAGGTGAGATTTACTTTTCACCAGCTTTCCTCCTGAGGGGACTTTCCAGTCTGCATGGCACACAGGACAAAGAGCTCAGGCAGAAAACAGAACACTTACTGAGCTGAGGAATCAAAGAATGGAGCTCAGGGCTAGAAATTAAAGGGAAAAATCCCTGAAAGGAGGGAGCCCCCAAATCTGCACACAAATTCTCCTCAAATTTTTGTCTTTATCCTAAACTATGCATGGTATCTCTCTTCCTTAATTTTCTCATTTATGAAATGGAGAGAAATTTTACTAATCTAATGAGAATCATTTTAACTGAAAGGTTTTAAGTGTCTGCAAAATTAAAGTGCAATTAGAGGGTCTCTAAACAGACCATTAGTAATAGTAAAGCATAAAGTCATACATTAGATACTAAACACAATGTAGCTGTAAGTAAATTTAGATGTTCCAAAGAAATGTTTAAAATTTTGAGAGTATAGTGGATTAGTATTATATGTAAATTTAGTATTTTCCGGAGGCCTGGGAGTTTGCCTGAATAGTTACCAGGCATATATCTCTCTACTCAGAAGTGTATTTGAAAATTTTCACAGTGACATATTAAAAGAAAATTAGCAGGCACATAGGCGAAGTCACCATCAAACCATTTAACTAATACATTAGAAAGTTACAATTACCAAAAACATCTAAAGAGACCACTCAATGGATCTACTAAATACTAACTTAAGAGGATGAACTATATCAAATTATTAGAAGAATTATGTTTTTATATGGTACAAAATATTTTATCCCAACTCTGAAGAGAGAGGCTGTAGAGATCCAGATGGATAAAAGGGGATCATATTACAGTATAACAGATTAAAATGAGTTGTTAAATAATTTACTTTGAGGAAATAACCAGAAAGATTTGAAAACTTACCCAGTGTAACAAAAAAGCAGAAGAGGCTGTCAACAATTGTGTCCATAACAGTTTCCATTTCTGTGTCTGTTATATCTGGCCTGTTAATGGCTAAAATGACATAGGTAAAGGAGAAAAAAGTCACCAAAATTTATGCCTTGTCTTTATAAACTCTTAAATTACTAAACTCCTAATCAACAAGCAGTTTGGTAATATTTGCAATACTCAAACAAGGAAAATTTTTTATGCTTTAAACTCTAAGTGAATAAGTATCTATCAAAAATTATACTATCTCGAAGGAAAAAGAACAATATCAGCAGCAGTAATAATAGTATCAATTATCAGAGTAATAATAAGGAAAAAACCCCACCACATAAACTGTATAAATTTTTTGCTAGAGCAAACAGAAAATAAATATCATATTCCATAATGTTATTCATGAACACTAGATGGCCTCAAGAAATTATTGATCTTATTATCCAACTACTCCAGAAAAGGACAACACGAATCAATTACGGTAAAACGAACATCACCTATCATTTTCTTTGTATTACAATAAGCCATATGAATTTCTTTTCTGATCTACTAGACTGTATATGAGTGGTTCCCAAACTTTAGTGGGTATAAGAATCACTCTAGGAATATGAGAAAAGAGCAGGAAGTTCCTCTAGATGCTACTAAAAATTAAAAGATTCTCAGCCATTTCCCCTAGGGATTCAATTCAATAGATTTGGGATAATTCGAAGAAAAAAATTCTGACAAGAGCTTCAGGAGATTCTTGGGGTACATTCCAAGAAACACTGCTGTGAAGACTGTCCTTGAGAGTCAAAGACCTTGCCTTATTCATCCTCCTATCTCTCACAATACCTGGGTCCAGCGTCTAACAAGCAGATGTTCATCATTTGTTGAAAAGACTGACTGGACTAAAATATTATTTATATAACATTTTAAATTTCCCAACATCCTGAATGTGAAAACAAATATAAAATTCAATACAACCTGTGATTAGCATGAGAGGAAAGCAGAATCCAATTGGATATATGAAAGTATTTAAAGAAAGTAGGGTCCACGTAGACAACATAAAAACAATAAAGAACTCAACCAGGCAATACAGAATCTGGATGACGAAATATGATGCTACCTGGTGTCAGAGACTGCCATCTATATAAATCAGATGATGTAAATGGCATAAGGAGACAACGTGAATTATGCAAATTCAGGGGCCATAAACCCAGGGAAACAGTCAGTTCATTTAGTCAATAACTGGTACAGATAAAATCTATATGGAAGCCACCAGCCTTTAGGTCCTATACCTTAGTCCTACACTTCTGAATGAGAACTAACCTGAAGAGTCAAAAAACTGTGCATCAATAACCTTAACTCACTTGTGATAACAGCCTGGTTTGTCTGAGACAGTAGCCTGAGCGTAACTGAGACAATAAATCTGCTTCCTTTACTGGATAAATAAATTCCCAATCCACGTAAAGTAGGTGATACAAATCAAATCCATGGTATTAATATATTTGATCTATGTTTAGAATAATCTGTTTAAGATGATTAGTTAAAGCACTTGTAATGTTGGAGAGGATGTGGTATAAAATTAGATAATGGTTAACAGCATTGTCTCTGGAGTGAGTGCCTGGGTTTAGTAACGTGGTGCTGCCATTTCCTTATCAAGTTACTTTAATATCTGTGCCTCAGTTTCTTCACCTGGAACATGGAAATAATAATACCAACTTCACAAAGTTATTCTGAGGAGTAAATGAGCTTATATTGTAAAGTGTTTATAGAACAACCTATTATTATATTATTGAGAATCTGAGTGATTATGTGATTACACTTTAAAATTCATAAATTAAATTTATACTTTAAATAATTATTAATTTCAGACTAGCGTTTTTTTTAAGTTGAGAGGCATAAGAAAACTAAATTTATAAGTACTTGATTGTTAGTGAACTTAGACTAACTATAAATTTAATTATTTTTAAGAACTATTTGAATATTAAATATCTGGACAGTTTTTGCTTGCCAGATTTATAAATTTGCCTGGTCTGGTATTTGAAGTACTTGAAAAAGAAAATTTAACATACTGAATTTATAAATGCAATTTAAACTTTAAGGGAATTTAACAAACTAAGTTTGCTGACTAAGCTTGTTAAATGGGACTGATTAGAATTTACTCTGTTCACTCTGTGGTAATCAATCCAAGAAAAAGTAAAGGTGCTTGTTTTTATGTAACCAAATTTATAAATAATATAATAAAATTTATAAGTTTAGCTTAAAGACTTAATGGAAACTAGGTTTTAAACATACAACTTAAATAAGTAGCTAATTAATTTAAAACTCAATTAACTGTAAATAGAATTCTGTAAATAATAACTACCATCGAAAATCTCTTACATGGGCAATTCAGCAAATATACTCTTTTAGGGATGTTGTTTAATTTCAATAAGAAAGCATGCAATGGAGCTCAATGAAACCAAAAGATTCATGTTCTCTTCTCTCAGGGAGCTTACCATCTGGCCCAATGTTTTACAATAGTGTACCACCGGCATTTTGGGCAGAACAATTTTCTGTATGAGCATGGCTTACACACTGCAGAACACCCAGCATCCCTAGCTCCTGGTCACTAAATGCTAGTAGCAGCCCTGGTAGTTGTGACAATTGAAAATGTCCTTATACATTTCCAAATGCCCCCTTAGGGGGATATACTCCCATTTAAGAATCACTGATTTTCTATTTACCCCCAAACATCTCAATTCTTAAGTAGCAAATTAATGAGTATTTCATTAATTAAATTGGCTAATCACATCTTCTATAGTTTACAATTTTCTTTAAAATATTCAATATAACTAATCAATGGGCATAAAGTTTTAGTTAAGCAAAATAAATAAGTTCTAGAGATCTGCCATATAACATCCTACCTAGAGTCAACCACATTGTATTGTACACTTAAAAATGTTAAGAGGGTAGATCTCATGTTAAGTGTTCTTATCACCACACCCCCAAATCAAAATAGACAACATAATATGGTGTGGGTGTATGCATGTGTATGTGTGTCTTTTAATTTTAATCTACATTCCAGGAATGGTCAGTTTACCAAAACTGGGAACATGAACTTCAGAGGTGGTTAGACAGCATTTGATCAACACCTACACTCAACCCCACTACTGCATGCACAAGCTGTAAGAATCAAGGGAATCTCACACCCTATATTTGAGAATGGCACTTCTACTTCATTCCCTAACACTACTACAGTAGCTGCTAACTCCTGACTGCTGTCTGATCTTGACAAACAGCAATACTAGCCAACCCTATTGAGTACTTTCTATGGGCTAGAAACTTTTCTAGGCATTTTACACATATTATTCCATTTAATTCCCAAAACTCTATGAGGCAGATAGTATTATTACCCCCATTTTACAGATGAGGAAACTAAAGCACAGAGAAGCAAAGTAACTTGTTCTTGTCCGAATGTCAAAGTATTAGAAGATGAACTGAACCCTACTATTAAAATACTGGCTTACTTACCATGAGGGAATCATTCATGAAAGTTGTTGCAGGCACCCTAAAAGGTCAGAGAATTGGTACTTCGCTGAACTCACAAAATGAGTTTATTAAATGTTGTTTATATGTGACAGAATTCAGGCTAAGACTTGTTTTTTTTGTGTGCTTTTAAGAATTTTTTACAGCTCTACTGCTGTAAACAAAGCTGGTTTTGGAGTGCACTAAACATGATAACATTTTTCTTTTTTTTACAGTATACTATTTGTTTTGTTAAGAATGAATTACAATATTCCTATTTTTACATACCACGATATGAAACAAGCTCCTTATTTTGATTACATAATACAAACATATCATCTTCCAAAGTAATGAAATTGAGATACTGATCAAAAACCTAGAACAAAAGAAAAGGTTTACAAATCAACTTTACAATATTGAAAGCACATCTAGTTTGACTTAATCTACCAATAGTAAAAAGGGAAAAGTTATAATTATATTCAAAAACTAAAAATTATACCAATTATTCTCACCTAATTGGGCAAGAATGAGGAGGTTAATATAAAAAGCAATAAAAACAAGCCTTTGGGCAAAAAATTAAGGAGAAGAGTAACATTTCCAGAAAACAACACTTAAGAAGATAATAAAAATTTTTTTTAAATTGTGGTTGAGATGGGAATGGATATCAATTGTGAAGAAAAACCACAATTTCAATTTTTATATTCATTTTAATCACACTTTCCTAACAAAGTCATAGTAACTGTTTTTCCACTGTGAATGTTTGTAAGTGGGGAAAAGTTATACTAGTTCTTCAGGAGTGCAAATTAGGAGAAAAATTTAAAAAACTAATTGAAATATATTAAATTTAGTTAAATAAATTGAAAACCATTCCTATTATTTTATGTAAAATTCATGATAAATTTTGGAAGACCAAGAACACTAGGACATAAGTCTTAAAAACTAATCAGAACTAGCAGTGGACTATCTAACCCTAAGAACGAAGACTCGATCAGTGGGAAAAAATAGCAAGTAAATGCATGGTTGTTTCATCTTTTATTTGCCCTATATCATTCCCTAGAATTTTCACTTATGTCTTATCCACATTCAAGAAGCACAAGGCACAAGAGGGATATAGCCAAGAATATATTTTACAGATTTATTTCTAACTAAGCTGAACCTGACTAAAAAGTCACTATGATGCAGAACTGCTGGCCTATTGTGAACTCCTCCTTTCTTATCTAACATCGCCTCTCTGGATCCTCTCTCCTAAGTAAGAAAAGATCTGGATGTAGTGTGGTGACTATAATGATTATAGATAAAACAATGTCAACATATTTTGAGTATAATTTATGACAACACAACTGTCATACTATTTCTAAGTTGAGCTAAAAAGATCATACAAATCCCAGCCTAAAACAAAAACTGATTTAGCTTTTTACTTTTGTGTCTCAAATTCACTAAATAATAGGTTCTTTAGTTTGGTTTATTTTACCTAGTTCAAGTTGAAGATAATTTACATTATGAGAATTCTTTCTAAAAGTATTGAGTCTAAATATTTCTTTGGTTGTTCCAGTCCTTTGTAAACTAGACACCTATGTCGATTAACAGGTTTCAAAATATTACTAATTTTACATTAACAAAATGTCATCAGCCAACCAAAATCTCTTACCTTGGCTACTTGTGCTACTGCACTAGCTGCTAATGCTGCATTTGCAATATCTTCCAGTTTACTTCTTGAAATAGCAGAAATAAAATTTAAATAATATGATTCATAGAGTTGATTTCGAAGATCCTATAAATACAATGAATACTTCATTCTTATAGGATAATATAAAGGATGACCACAAATAAAAATCTCTTAAATACTAGAACAGTAAGGTTTTGGAGGTTAATATACATATTTGAAAGACAGGTTATATAAATGACAACCAAAAAAAGTATCCCAAGAGAACAAAGTTATGAAGAAGTATTGTTTACTTGGTTACCAGATGCAACCAACATTTATTTTAATAATTAAAGTTATGATAATTATATTATCCATAAAATCCTATTAATTATAACACTGCATAAAATGGCTTTGAAATAGCATATCTGCATTTTTCTTAAAAATATCCAGAAGTGGTTCTCTTAAATAGTAAAATGCTTATTATATTTGGCAGACACTACCTTCTATTGCTCTGGTCATGTGATGATACAACAAATACTTGTTTCACTGTGCACAGACATGTAATAATTCCAATGACCAATTCCAGAAGTATTTCTTCTCAGCCATCCAAAAGCAGTATAATTTAAAGTTATGCAAATTCTTTCATCAAATTCACTTAATTTCTTAAACTCTAGGCAAACAGATATCTAAATAACCGTATTTCTTCAAATCAAAGATACTGTCAATTGTAACAGGTAACATTACTTTATGTAACACTAAGAAAGAATTAATGCTGCCAACAAACTTCTGTAACACACCATTAATTTTCAGACGCATCTGATTTCAGAGATGCTGAAATGTGAAAGACCAACACGGGTGGAGCCCATGTGAGGAAGGCGGCTGAACAGGGCTGTGGCAGCAAAGGCTGGGAGATGGAGTAAAGGACCGAGGATGGAGGGACTGAGAGAACAAGCAAATATGCTGAGGATAGTGGGAGGCATGCTTCTCAATGTCAGAGCAAGGAGTTACAAATTTGTAAACGGAAAAAGAAAAAGCTAGAAGGAAACCTGTATTTCTGAACTGAGACAGTTTTGGAGGTTATCTGTCTGTCTGTCTGACTATCTATCTAGAGAGATAAGAAGATTTATAAAACTAAATATAAATAGAAAAGTGTGTATATGTACATACGTATATTTTCTAGCTCTGTCCATTGAGAAGGCCTAAGAACTGTGAGACTCTAGTAGCAATGAGTACATCTAATGCCCAGACACTGATTTCTAAATACTGTTCTCTATAAAAAGCAACCAGGGCTCCTTAGACAAATGGCTGAATCTTGGGCTGGGACACAGAAAGTACAAGATGAGACTGGAACATCTTATTGTGCCAGAAAGTAAGGAAGTGGTGAAAGACTGATGAAGACATTTCAAAAGGACATAGAAGTTGAACAAAGTTGCAAGACACAAGATCAATATATAAAAGTTAACTGGATATCTATACACTTGCAATAAGCAATCCTAAAAACGGAATTAAGAAAACAATTCCATTCACAAAAACATTTAAAAAATGAAGGAATAAAATTTAACAAAAGAAGTGCAAAACTTGTATTCTGCACATTACAAGACATTGTTGAAAGAAATTAAAGATCTAAGTAAGTGGAAAGAGATCACATGTTCATGGATCAGAAAATTTAATATTACGATGGAAATAACGCCCAAACTGATCTACAGATTCAATGCAATTCCTATGAGAACCCCAGCTGGCATCTTTACAGAAACTGATAAACTAATCCTAAAATTAATATGGAAATTCAAGAGACTCAGAAAACCCAAATAACCTTGAATATGAAGTACAAAGTTGGAGGGCTCAATTTTCCAATTTCAAAACTTGCTACAAAGCAAGAGCAATCAAGACAGTGTGGTAATGGCCTAAGGACAGACATAGAGATCAAAAGAACAGAGTCCAGAAACAAACCAATGTATCTACTGTTGATTAATTTTCAACAAAGCTGCCAAGACAGTTCACTGCAGAAAGAAAATCTCTTCAACAAATGATGCTGGAACAACTGAATAGCCACGTGCAGAAGAAATCAGCTGGACACCTACCTCATACCACATATAAAAAGTAACTCAAAACAGATCAAAGAGCTAAATGTAAGAGGCAAAACTATAAAAATCTTTGAAGAAAATGAAGAGATTTGGCAAGAGTTTCTTCAATATAATACCAAAAGCACAAGCAACTAAAGAAAAAATAGGTAAACTTAAAATTAAGCTTAAAACCAAAATTAAAAATTTTTGCACTTCAAAGGATGTCATCAAGAGAGTGAAAAGATAACCCAAAGAATGGGAGAAAACATTTGCAATTAATATACTTAATAAGGGTCTAGTAACCAAAATAGACAACCCAATTAAAAACTAGACAAGAGATCTAAACAGACATTTCTCCAAAGATATGGAAATAGCCAATAAGCACATTAAAAAATGCTTAAAAATCATTAGTCGTCAGGGAAAGGCAAAACCACAATGAGAGACCACTTTACACCACTAGGATGGCTACAATCCAATGTCAGATAATAAAAAGTACTGACAAAGATCTGGACCAACTGGAAGCCTCATACACTGCTGGAGGGAATAGAAAATGACACAACCACTTTGGAAAACAGTCTGGCAGTTCCTCAAAAATTTAACCTTAGAATTATCATTTGACCCAGAAACTCCACTCCTAGCTGTTTATGGACATAAGAGAAATGAAAACACATGTCTACATAGAAACTTGTACACAAGTATTTACAGTAGCATTATTCATAATAGCCAAAAAGTGGAAGCAACCCAAATGCCCATCAACTGATAAATGGATAAACAAATTTGGTATATCTATACAATGGAATATTACTCAGCATTAAAAAGGAATAAAGTACTGATACATGCTACAATATGGATGAACCTTGAAAACATTACACTAAGAGAAAAAAGCCAGATACAACAGACCATGTGTATGATTCCATTCATGTGTAATATCCAGAAGAGGTAAATACACAGAAATAAAAAGTAGCTTAGGGATGGGGTTGGGGTATCAGGGATATAACAGCAGAGGTGATGAAAATATTCTAAAATTGATTATGTTGATAGTTGCACAACTCTGTGAATATACTGAAAAATCACTGAATTGTACACTTTGTACACTTTAAGTGGGTGAATTGTACGGTATGTGAATTATATTTCAATAAAGCTATTATAAAAAAAGGACAGAAAAAGGGACTGATAAATGATACCTTTTTTTTTTTTGAGGAAGATTAGCCCTGAGCTAATATCTGCCCAATCCTTCTCTTTTTGCTGAGGAAGACTGGCCCTGAGCTAACATCCATGCCCATCTTCCTCCACTTTGTACGTGGAATGCCTACCACAGCATGGCTTGCCAAGTGGTGCCATGTCCACACCCGGGATCTGAACTGGCGAACCCCAGGCCACCAAGAAGCAGAACATGTGAACCTAACCGCTGCACCCCTGGGCCAGCCCCATAAGTCATACCTCTTTAAAAATGGCACAGTCGGGTTTACGTAGGGTGAAAGAGAAAGCTAGCCATCATTAGCTACAGAGGATACAAAATATGTGACTTTCATTAACAATTTAAATAGTAATTTGATTCAACAGTCAATAACACGTAAAGATGCTTGTTACTTGTGGTACATACTGTTAGCTACCTATCCAATATCTATTTTTCCCTTCTTCCTTGCTAAAAGAATTCATATTTCATTTGGGGTGGGAATACACTCATCTAAATATTAACTTTTGCGGTCTCCCTCAAAGCTAATTCTACCCAGTGAGAAATAAATGCAAGTCTTCTGGGAGTTTCTGGGAAAGCTTCGCTTTCTTGATCATAATGAACAGTTAGGGCTGGCACAGTCCATTTCCCCTTTTTCTTGCCTTGAACATAGATGTGATGTCTACAGTTGCAGCTGCCATCCTGCATCCATGAAGCAACACGCAAGACAATGAAAAGGGACAAACTAAAGATGAAAGATCAGAAAGACAGAAGGAGCCTGTGTCTTTGATTACCCTGTAGAACTGCTGTGCCTGCTTGGGCTTCCTACTCTCAGACTTCCTATTATCTTAGAAAAACAAAATATTATTTTTAAAGCTAATTATAGATAGGTTTTCCGTTTTTTAAAGCTGGATTCAGTCAATCAATATAAGCTTCCTCAGCCAAAAAATTTAAAAATTTTTCAGTCTATCTAAAATTCAAAGATAGTCTCAAAAGTCAAAGTAGGAAATTGGTAAGGGAATTTCTGATTTTTCGCACTGGACACGTAAGAATGTTTTTTTGAAAAAAATCTGTTTCCACATTCAAGGATGAGGAAAATAAGAACTCATGTTACCTGGCACATCCTGTCAATATTTTCTTCACTTGGCATTACAAAGTACACTGCAGGAACATCTGGAATAGGATCTCGATCAGAGTGCAGAAGCCTGAAAGATATAAAGAACACAAAACTCACCTTTTTCTTAGTCACTTATCTAAAAAGATAGTTTAAAACTGTATTTCTCAAACTAGAAGATCACCAGTTCAAGGACAGTGACCAGTACTCTAAAAGCTCTTGCTGCAACTAATCAGTTAATCCAGCTTTCTCCTTATATCAGTGCTAATATCATTTATTAGTAAGATCTTAATGTCTTCTTAATCTTCATTTCTTCTGCTCCAGTTGCCTTCTAATACGTCATGGTCAGACAGTCTCTTCTGCCAATATTCTCCTTGAATGAGAACTAAAGCACATTCAAAATCAATTTTATGCCCATTTTTCATAAAAGTATAGTAGGGGGAGGGTAAACAGGAGGAAAACGCAGTTCTCCATGAGAGGGAAAAGAGAAAGCTGGAGGAGTCTTCAGAAGCAGTTAAAAAATTTAACCATAAGTAAAATCAAATCTATATTTAAAACAAAGGGTATATGAATGCTTCCTTAAAAGTTTAAGATAATCTGTTTTTTTGTATTTATTGTCATAAGAGAAGGCACAGGAGATCACCTAAGCATCTCACACATTATATCACTTGATAGTTTTCTCTTTCTATAATTCAGGGAGTATGTGCATTCAAATATCCTAATATCAAATCACAAAATGTCTTTATTCTTTATCGTAAGATTTTACTAAGCTTACATCAGGAAATATGACTGACATTCTATTTCTACAACATTCTAGTCATCCTTCTATAAGCAATATCCTACATACAATCTTCTGTATACTCACTTATGTATATATAATATTTTGGTCATAATTTTATAAAGAGTAAAAGAGGCTCATCTTGCCAGTGAGTCTGCATTTAATAACTTCTTCCCATCTGTTTGGCTGCTGCTACTGACATCCGAAGGACTATAATGTGATGGTAGCCACTGGTTGCTGTCTTCTTATGCTGGCTGTCCAACTGCCTAAGGGGCTAAGACTACCATTTCATGTTCTGGAAAGTTGTAACTATTGTTTCCTACAAAACAGACTAAACCAGCTTGCAGAGTATAAAGTAACTGATGACGTGTTCTCCAGCAAGTGGGGAAGAATAGCCAGAGGAAGGGTGCACGTGAATTCACCAGGGTAGCTGTGTAATCTTTCCATGCTCTGGTGGCAACAGTAACAGGAAGGCATAGAGAATCCATGACTCTCAAACTGGCAGACTATCTGGACGTCCCTTAGGGAAGTACTGAGTTAGTCCTCACTTCTGTTAGTCACTGTTACTGAGCCATTATGGTTCAGTAGACAAACGGCACAGAATTAGTGCTCAAGCAATCTGGCCACAACTCCACCATTACCTAGCTGTACAATCATGGGACAATCACTTAAACTTTAGTCTTTTCATTAGTGAAATAAAGGAGTTAAACAGTAAGGCAGCAATAGGAACCAATGTTTATTAGTAAATGACCATTTCCAACGATGGCTTCAAGCTAAACTTCAGTTCAGGTCATAAGAATTAACACATCATCCACCATAAATCTGTATTTTAAGTCTGACATAAAAATGAAAGGAAAAGCCTGTCAAATACCATATTTCATCAAACCTAAGGTGCTATCAATTTTAAAACATTATTAAAATAATTTCTATTAAAATTGGCAGAAAAATGCTGTCAATTAAACTATAACATGGCATTAATTAGAAGACAGCTCTTAATTTCAGAAATATAAAGAAGTGAAAAGTACATTTTAGAATTAATGCAACATAATATTCTATTAATTTAAAACAAATACTCAATATAAAATTGAAGAATTGAAGAATTTAACCAGATTCTGATATGTTACTCACTAGAAATCTAAAACTACATTCTCAATAAAAGTGCACATTTCAAGTAAATATATTATAACATCAGAGAATGAAAATTGGTTATAACATCATAAATAGAACAAAATGCAAATAGATTAGAGCACCATAAAATTGGACTCCTTCAGTACATAAAAGTAGTAGTATCTATCCATGAATATAGCCCCTCTCCAAATGTTCTATTAGGCCTGGTCCACAAAGTAATGCAACTGTTTTATTTATCAAACCTATCAGAAGCCATGTAATCAAGTTAAGTTCAGTGGTTAAGAAGACAATCTAGCTAGCCTCCTACGGTGATTAACAGTCATTATTTCATAGTTACTTAAATTTTTCATACTAATGATAAACTAATTTAGATATTCTTCTTCTAAAAAAGTATATTTAAATTAAAGGACTAAAAACTTCTCAGAGCTGGAAGAGACCTTAAGACAACCAGTTCTTTCCCTTCACATAAGAAGGTAAACCAGACTGCAGGAAAAGAAAGAAGAAAGTTTAAATGCTGAAATTATAAAGCCTCAGACTGAGGCTTATTTTTAACTTCAGAAATAAAGGGTTGAATAAAAGAAGATATGGGGAAAAAATGTTGTTCTATACAAATATTGTAACCGAACAATATTTTCTCTATAAATGTCCCTTAATAACTTGATTTCAGGGTGGCCAAAGAAATCTTTAACAATGTATTTGAAAACAAATACCATTATTAGAAATACGTTAAAACTCACAAATGCAGAGTGATTCCCATGTCTCTTAGCTCCTTCACAGACAGCAGAGGAGAGATGATATCTTGGCCAAATCTATCATAAATGAGCACCTAGTAAAATAATAAAAAAGAAAAACCCATGTGCTTTTTAAACATTATCAGTGACTAGTCAATAGAGAACCCATATTAAGACAACGTCAAAGTACATTTTATTTTAGTAAATCATGTTTACTGAATTCTTATACTTACCTCAATTTAATATTTTCTATCATTATTTACCAAAATGTCTATTCATGTAGTACTCCATTCTTAAAAGCATTAATACTTAGGCTAAAATAAATTAATAATTATATACATTTCTTCCTATAAAATACTTTTTCTAGGTTAAAAAAAACATGCTAGAGACTATACAATCTTCATCTTAAGCTAAGGATTTTGAACATACAGCAAACTCACATACACTATCCTACCCAGTTCACATACATCCTTGCTAAAAGGAAAGAAGTAAAATTAGTCACTCTCAAAACTAATGTGTAACAAGTTCTAAGATTCTCAAGAAAATTTAGTAATTTAAGTATTTCAGGTTAATGAGATACTCATTTTAAAAATTAAGTTCCTAAAGAGTACTTACTAGCCTTATTCTGTCACATGGGTTTCCTCACATTCTAAAAGTTTTAATACTGACACCTGGGGCTGGCCCTGTGGCCGAGTGGTTAAGTTTGCGCGCTCCACTTTAGCAGCCCAGGCCTTTGCAGGTTCAGATCCTGGGCGCGGACCTAGCACTCCTCATCAAACCATGCTGAGGCAGCATCCCACACAGCACAACCAGAGGGTCCTACAACCAGAATATACAACAATGTACTGGGGGGAGCTTTGGGGAGAAGAAGAAAGAAAAAAACAAAAGAAAGAAGATCGGCAACAGATGTTAGCTCAGGTGCCAATCTGTAAAAAAAAAAAAAAAAAAAAAGACACCTTTGAGGAGTAGTAAGAATGCCAACTGGGTCTTCTAACTCAAAATTAGTTTTAGAAGGCAAATAAAAGAGACATTTCAACTGGTGTTTTTCAAAACTACCTCAATAATTCATTATGGAGGAAGAAATTGCTAACGAGAGGATGAAACATGCTGTCATAAAAACACGGTTTTTTTGAATGTCAGCATTTCGTCTAGAAAAGCTGAAAATCTTCCTGCTCTAGTTATAAGGGGTTGGATGTTGCGTCCCTCAAAAATTCTTCCTCTTTAGATCTCAATATATCTGTATTAGTAATCTTGTGATATAGAAGTGATGGGTAGGGAAAGAATCTGACACAAATCTGTACCCAAGAAGTTGTCAAGTTATTTAATTCAAAAGCTCAATACAGGCTTTAGAAACAATAAACAAATAGAGTTTATGCAAGGGGCAGTAAGAAGATGCCCAGAAGCAGGAAGGAAGGGGAAAATCAGGGGACACACTGGAGCTTAAACTATGAGCTCAATATAGATGACTCTAACCACCGTTAGAGTTAACCTAAACGAGTCATAACCACTCACGAGTTTTCAAAACACCCCAAATTGTAACCAAGTTGACTCATTCTTAATGTTTAGCAAGAGAGAAGTATAAAGTGACTGCAAACTAGTAAATTTAAATCTAATCAACTGTATTAAATCCAATCTCTTGGAAGAAAGAGACAGCGTGTGCATGTAGTTTAGAATGAAGGAGTTCAAATGGGAATTTTTAAAGGTTTTCTAGCATGTCTCAAGGGGGCAAAATTATAGATTGCTTTCTGGTCCAATTAACAATTTTACTGACAGTTTTATATATCATAAATCAATAAACTGGCATTGTGGTTTAGAAATCACTCTCTCATGAGCTGGTTAAAATGGACCAGTCCCCGAGGCTGACTAACCCTGAGCAAGCCTGCAAGATCCAAGTTCTCGACTTGCGAAGCTAAGGAACGAAACATCACCCAGAGTAAAGACCTATGAGTGAGGCCCCAGCCAGGAGATCAGCTGGATTCTCTAGATGAATATTACTATCCTCTCCTGTCTTATTCCATAAAACGTTTATCAATAAGATTCACATTAAGAAGCCACGTTAAATAAAAATAAAATATGCATGCATTACAACTAAAATGTGCCACTGTTCAGTATTAACAAGAAATTCCCTCCAATTACCACCAATAAGGGCCTGGAAAAAAGAAATAGTCCCCATTAAAATAAAATCTCTTACCTTCCATACTGGTTCTCCGGTGCTGTTTTTAACATGAGGCACGTTGAAATTCAACATACGCTTCAAAGCCACTGGAAATGGAAATAGTCTTATTAAATATTATCATTGTTTTTTACAATTTCATTTCCCCCCCACATGTATTACTTACTACCTCAAAACAAAATGCACAAATCACTCTTAGAAAGGCTGTTCCATCAACGGCTAATTGGCACATGTTTGGGAGATTTTCTAAAACACAACAGGCATCTGTCCCCAGATGAAAATGTGAAAAATGTTCAGGAAGAGCCTTTTCCATTTCTCCTGATGATCCCACAGTACATTTTATATAGACGCAAAAAGAAATTCTGTCAATCACGAACTTGCAGTGGCCTCAATATATGACTGGTGTTGTTGTCTACTGTCTGGCTGAAAGCACAGATTAAGATCAGTCTTTCTAAAAGAAAAAATTATCTAAGATATATTTACATGGTTCATATACAAAACCTCCATACAGCAGGTCTACTTTTTAGTTATCTTGGGGTACATTTTATGATCAATTTATCCTGTCAGATTCACTGAAAAGTTGTATTGCTTAATATTATATGCTCCCTGGAGAAAGTGAGGCTTTCCCATAGAGCTGGTGGGTAACTGATAACTCCTGCCAAGAAAATATACACCTTCTAAGCCATAGCAGCTATGCTCTATATGTTATAGTATTTTGTGGTTTTTATTGCTCATCTGTTCATGTGTTACAGCAACTCAGAAATATTTCCTAAGGAGAATAAAAATCTCAATATACTTCTATGTGAAGTAGAAATGGCAACTTCACAAGTCAAGAGAGGGTATTAGCTAGGTGATTTAATTTTTAAAAGACTAGCAACCCTAAAATCTACTTGGTTGATTTTTAAAAACACTTGGATTAGGCTTTATTAAGTAATACAGAATAATCAATAAGCCAAACTTCCACCAGAGAACTGTATAATACTCAAATCACCTGAGTATCGATTTATAGCACATTCATTCACTCACTAGAAAAACTTCTCTTAAATGCTTGTTTCTTGAGGTAGGTAAATAACAGGAGACTGTAATTCAGTGATATATTCATATATTTATGTGTATGTACATAGAGAGATGATTTTTTGGTAAAATGTTAGTATCTAATGCTCAGCCAATAATACACATTGCCAATAATTTACATCTACTTCAGAAGCTGACAGGTGTTATGGTATTAGATAAAAAATACATAAACAAACAAAAAAACACTTTGGTACTTAAAACTGAAACAACACAAGAGGCACAGAGAGTGCTCCAGGATTAATTCTCCCACAGCACTTCAGCAGAGATCTTCCTCCCACCTCCCGGCAACGCAGACACCACCACCCTGGCACTCACGGCCCAAGAGACAGAAAAGCTTGTTTCTAAGAACAAGTGTTCACACTCTTGACACAGGACAACTAGGAAGAACCACAGCCTGGGCTGCATGTGAGCCCCAGGCGTACAGTGTTCTCCCAGCCAGCAGGCCTTAGCTAACTGAAAGAGGCCAGTATCAGCAGATACTCCCACATCCGCCTTCTCAGCTCCATCTAGGTGAATATCTATCCCTGAGCCTTGGTTAATTTGCCAACAGGGATTTTGACACAGTGGATGTGTTAACAGAGTACATGGCCTGTGTTCAGAGAATATACAAGAATTTAATTTCACTTTCATCAGAGTAACCCCCTAAAGGCTGAAACCATTGCCTTTAACTGAAACGACAACCTAGTTTTCCTTATTGTCCCTAAACATACTATCCACAGTCCTAGGCTTGGTTAATGTAGTTTCACCCTTATCTGCAATGTCTTCTTCACTCATTCCCTATATATTTAACTACATTTGCTATTCATTCAATAAATGTTTAGTGAGTATTTACCATCTGCCAGACCCTGCTCTAGCTGTTGGCACTAAACAAAACAGACTGAACAAAAATTACCCATCCTCAAGTAGCTTTCATTCTAGCTGAGGCAGAAAGACAACAAAATAAGTAAAACACAGTATGTGGGATCAAGATAGGTGCTATGGAGAAAAACAAGGAAGGGAAGGGGGAAGAGGGAATTGTCGTGTGATTTTAAATACAGCAGGCAGGAAAGGCCCCCTGAGAAGGTAACATTTGAGTAAAGACCTAAGGGAGGTGAGGGAGTTATGCAGATATCTCTGAAAGAATATTCCAGAAAGAGGAAACAAATAAAAAGGCTCTGAAGTAGAAGCATTCTGGTGTGTTCAAGGAAAGGGGAGAGTAATAGGGAGTGAGGTCAGAAAGTTAAGTGGGGAACAGATCGTATAGGGCCATGTAGACCACTGTAAGATCATTCTGACTTCTGCCATGACTGAAACAGGAAGCTGCTGGAGGGTTCTGAGCAAAGATGTGACATGATCACGTTAGGTACTGTGTGAAAAAATACGAAGGGGAACAGGGATGTAAAAGAAAAAAGACCAAATAGAGGTATTGCAGAAACTCCTGGTGGCTCGGACTTGGATGACAGCAATGACAATGGTCAGATCCCGGATATATTTTCAGAGTAGAGCTGACAAGATTTACTGACAGATCTGACGTGGAATAAGGAAGAGAGAAGTCAAGAAAACTTCAAGGTTTTTGTCTGAAGCAAATACAAGCATGGAGTTGCCATTAAGTGATACACGGTCGACTGAGTTCAGAGGAGAAGTTCAGGCTAGTGACATAAACTTGGGGACCATCAGCATATAGATAGTACCTAAAGCCAAGAGGCTACATCAGATCACTACAGGAAGAAGGCAGTTGATCTGGGGCTCTCCAGTGTTGAGAAGCGGGGGAGTTGAGCAAGAACCTGGAACAGAAGGACATGCATGCATGAAGGACAATGGTTCCACAGGATTCTGCCTGTGGAACTAAAGGTAAGAATAGAGAGTGATGGGGCTGGCCCCGTGGCCGAGTGGTTAAGTTCGCGCGCTCCGCTGCAGGCGGCCCAGTGTTTCGTTGGTTCGAATCCTGGGCGCGGACATGACACTGCTCATCAAACCAAGCTGAGGCAGCGTCCCACATGCCACAACTAGAAGGACCCACAACGAAGACTATACAACTATGTACCGGGGGGCTTTGGGGAGAAAAAAGGAAAAAAAAAGAATAGAGAGTGATCCAGGAAACTTTCACAAAGGAGATGACTTTTGAGGTGACCTTTAAAAGACGAATAAAGATTCTTCAGGCAGGTGAAGCAAAAAACAGGCATACCAGTTAACCTCTCTACACCTTAGTTTCCCCATCTGCAAAATGGAGATGCTAATACAGATAAGTATCACTTAAAACAGTGCCTGGCGATGGTCAATGCTCAATAAATATCAGTTATTATCTACCCAAATAGACTGCAAACTCCTCTGTATCAAAGTGCCTTGTATCTACAATATTTGAGAATGGACTGTCAATTATTTCCCGAAACGTTCTCAACAGGCATAAGGTAAATGTTTACTTCTGCTACTACAGTACCTACAAAGGGGTTTACCTTTCACTGAAAAGATGACAGAACTCAACTACAGTACTAATTTGATAAATGATCTGGCATAACCTATCTAGTGATGATGTGAAATCTTGCTATAATGAAGTTTATTTCCACAGAAATCAAAATTATACTATTAGATTTTAATATTCTACAAAGCTTCTGTATATAAAAATCCCTACCATACAAACTTCATTTTTCAAAAAGTTCCTTTGTTTTGCTACATTCTTCCTTGACATGTTGTTGTCTTTATTTTAATACATAGTTTGGCTTAATTCATTGAGCTTCATTAAACTGTCAGAACCACAGTGTAAAGACAACTGGAGATTCTATTTATACACAGATAAAATGAATGGCAGGTATTCTCCAAATCTTATTTGGACTTTCACATATTTAAGTTATGCCTGACTTCATCTGAAAGCTTATACTAAATTATCTACTGGAAAAAGCAAAAGAGAACTCAATATGCGCTGTGTGTCATTACTAGACTGAAGTCTATCATTTTTCTCTTTGAATTCCAAAAGAAGGAATCAAGCACAGCCAAAAAAATCCCTTCTGTAGGTCATAGTAATTGTAACTAATTATTTTTGTATTCAGATTTATACACAAAAGAACATAATTACAAGAGACAGAATTTCCAAGTAGTACGCACATTCTCCATGGCTTATTTCTATTAGTTCCTCAGAGCTTGCCAACTTTCAAGACAATTAGTTGACAAGTATAAACAAGTTCTCATCAGACGTTTACAAAAAACAAGGCAAAATTAAAAATATCTAAGATGGAAAAAATATCAAAATTCAAGGTAAGAGATATGCATTTTTTTACCACATTTCACTGCATATAAATAGAAGCTATATAAAACCATGTTCTATCGAAGATGAAACTAGTAACATGTAGTTTTAAAACACTAGTTTGTCACACAGTTAAAATGGGAAAACTATTAATTTGTTTTGTCATTCTTCAATCCCATTCCAGCAAGTTGAATCTTTATCACCAAGTATTTCTTGTCAGTACCCCCAAAAGACTGTTCCAAAGGAGAGAAATGGCAGAACGCAAGCTGCTCTGAAAAAGAATATCTAAATTTTGTAATTGTAGTGAAAGTGCCGGAAAATGAAACTCTTTCAACATTAAAACTGGAAAAGAACTGAACCAGGCACAGAAACAAACCCGGACACCTCTTAGGTGGCAACACAGGGGAAAAAATGCCAGCGGCCAGATCTTGCCGCGATGGCCTTCTGAGGCCCAGTAGGACAGACAAGAGCAGGACCCTAGCAACCGGCCAGCCCCCGAAGCCCCTTCTCCCGCACCAAGGACCAGGGCCGAGTTCTCAAGCTAATGGCATCTCTTCCCTAAAAACTCAAAAGGGGAGGGGCCCTCGATGCTCTGAGTACTGAATTAAACTCCCGAGGGCCGTCTCCGAGCTGCACGCACCGCCACCAAGTGAGGGCGACAAGGAGAGGAAGAAGATGTGCCCACCGCAGGCACAAAACCGCAGGGAGGAGAAGGTAATAAGCCGGTACCTGTTTGTCTCTCTCGAATACTGGCTGCTGCGGCCGCCGCCATCTTCACTCCCACCATCCACAGCCCGGCGGGCGAGCAGAGCCCGACGATGACGTGGCCGCCCCGGCCGCCCCGGAAGCAAAGCCCGGAGGGGCGGGGCCAAAGGAAACCGGACCCCCCTCCTCCAGGGCGACCGCCCAGTGTCGTCAGCTCCCTCCTCAGAGCTTGGAGATCCGGCGGAGGGTAATACCCGCGTGCCTAGTGGTGGTTACTTTTCAGCTGTGGAAGAGTAGGAATTTGTATCCTATCAAGCCAAGCCTCTCAAACGGTAGCTGCTTTAAATTGAGCTCTTAGGGTAGGAGTGTGGTGTACTTCTAACAACCTGATTGAATACTGAACTGTTTATTTGGTCCTTTATAAATCACTTAAGCGCTCAGAATACTCTAGGGGTTTAAGGATCACAGGACTAAAGTAAATGAAGCTCCTGGAACGAAGCAAGCACTTAAACGCTAGCTCCCTCCTCTGCTTCCCAGTACGGCGGGAGAGGTCTCCCCTTTGCTCCATTTTTCAGAGAAATAGACGGGATTTGGAGCATTGCTCTAATCTGGCAGATTTCTCAATCCCATCTATTAGCAAAATGGTCTAGCTTTATGGTGTGGTTTTCCCTACGTGGACACAGGAGCCAGGAAGGTGGAAAATGGCAATTTGGTATTTTCCCCTCTTTTAGTAACAGCAAAATCACAAAACACTACTTTGGGGGAGGGGGTAAGTGGATAGGGCTGCTGTTTTAATGCACACTTGAAGTCATGTGATGACAAAAACTAATACTGATGATTTCTAATTTATTTATTTACTTTGCTGAGGAAGATTCACCCTGAACATCTCTTGCCAATTTCCCTTTTTTGTATGTGAGACCCTGCCCCAGCATGGCCACTGGTCTAAGTCCACTCGAAAACCCTGCCTGAACCAGCCCCTGAAGCAGACCTGAACTTAACCAGTAGCCACCACAGCCCACCCCCCTGCCCTGGCCCAGCTGATTGCTAATTTAATCCATAGGTTTTTATTTGATGTCAAAAATAGATGACAGCTCCGTTCCCAGCCGTTCAATAGAGTTCACTGATGACACTGCATTAGCTGTTCATTCTGAAGCTGCACCAAATTCTGAAATGAAATTCTACTCTGTGCCTCAGAAACTATTCCGAAAACCTTTCAAATTTTTAAACTTTTTTAAACTTTTTTTTTTTTGAGGAAGATTAGCCCTGAGCTAACATCTGCTGCCAATCCTCCTCTTTTTGCTGAGCAAGACTGGCCCTGAGCTAACAACCGTGCCCATCTTCCTCTACTTTATATGTGGGATGCCTACCACAGCATGGCTTGCCAAGCAGTGCCATGTCCACACCTGGGATCCGAACCGGCAAACCCCAGGCTGCTGAAGTGGAACATGCACACTTAACTGCTGCACCACCAGGCCGGCCCCTAACTTTCAAATTTATATGAGAAATGAATTATCCTTATTACATAAAGAGCAAAATTCTGTAACAGAACATTAACTTCTCTATTTCAGATAAGTCATTTATTTATGTGAAGCTCAGACAGGTGATCTTATTTTAATGCCATTAGGAAATGCCCTAGAACTGAACCTATATTTTAACTCGTGTAACTTTTTTTCTATTTTCCAGCTTTACTGAGGTATAATTGACAAACAAAATTTGTAAGATATGTACATCATAATGATTTCATGTATGTATACGTTGTGCGAGGACTCCCCCATCTAGTTATCATATCCATCACCTCACAAATTTAACTTTTTTCCCCTTGGGTGAGAACATAAGCTCTACTCTCTTAGCAAATTTCAATTATACAATACAGTTACCAACTATAGTCACCATGTTATATATTAGACCCTCAGACCGTAATCATCTTGTAACCTAAAGTTGTTACTACTGCATCATGTGATTTATATGGGGAATAAAAAAAAAGTCAAACTCATGGAAACAGCAGAAAAGGGGTTACTAGAGACTGGGGGGGGGGGGGCCAGAATAGGGAGAGGTTGGTAAAAGGTTATGAAGCTACATTTTTCACCTGTAAGAACAGCATTATCTCATTTTTGTAGCTAATTAGCATATTAACTAGAATATTTACTGTTTTATTCAGTGCTATCACTAATATTTTGAAAGACTCACCAATGATCTAGGTGTGTTGTAATTCAATGGAAATGACAGTTCCTGCCCTATGGGAATGTTCTTCAATTTTTGTCTCCATGGAATATAAAATATACAGTCTTTCCCACCTCCCAATATCTGAGCACCCAAGCTTGTTCAATTGGGTACTTGCACTTTGAAACACAAATCTTTCCTCTAACCATTTCCGCTCCATTTCAAACTTCCTCCCAAGACGATATGAGTCGTATTAATACAAAATGCTAAGACAATGTTTAATATTTATATACAGTATATACATATGAAATGATAAAAATCAACCAAGGAGTGCACAAAGTGTGGGCAATAAACGTATAGAAAAATATGCCCCACAGAAGAACAATGGCAGACAAACAGTCCCTGTAAGGTTGGGACTGAATAAGGTATTTGTTGTTAGTAGAATCAGAAAAATCAAAATAAACTATGGCTTCAGACTGTAAGGTAATCTAATTTACTGCAGTCTTTTAACTGACTCTATCCAGATTTTTGGCTTAATTTCTTCTGGCAAACTATTATTTTACATTAGGGGATAGACAGTTTTAACACAGAATACCTCAGAACAACTCATTCAAGAGAGGTTCCTAGGTGTCAGCCAACAAACTGCTCACAGGATCTCTCAAACTCGCAGAGGAAGGGATCTTGTATCTACTTAGTATTGTCAGAATCTTTATGTTAAATCCTAACGCCTTACTTAACTTAGTTTATGTAGGCTATTCACACTTAGTAGCATAAACATATTCATTTAGAAAACATTTTAAGTGTCACGTTTTTTGGTAACATTTGAAGTCTTAAAAAAAGGGGGGCGCGGAATAAGCTAATACATCAACTGTTATGTAGCATAATACCTGGCATACAGTAGATATTGGAAAATGTCTGGCAATTAGAAAACGTTAAAAGTCAAAATCAGAACTTGAAAATCGGGGCTCTTCAAAGCATTCCAAATTTTCCTCAACTACAGGTAATACACATCCAAGTAAGCCATCATTCAATGTTCAAAAGTTCCAATAGCTTCCATATAATTACAAAAAAAATTATAAAAAGTTTTGGCACAAAGCAGAAGCCAAAGCGAATTCTCAGGTTAGTAATCAAATGAAGGCTTTTTACTTGACCCAAACAAATAATGGCTTATTCATAATATGGAAATTAAATATTACAAAGTATAAAAATCATAAGCTAGTTTCTGACGAGATATTTTAAAGAATCTTTACCTTAAATACTAAAACAGTAAAATGACTTGAGTACAAGAATAGTAGAGAATTGTATAAAAGGCCTTCAGATGAGGCTCCCACACCAAAAAGTTTAAAAACTGTCTGAAAACAATGAAAATAAAACAACCAAAAACCATTCACAGCAGATGTATAATAGGCGAATTTATGGTTTTTCTTGATATTGAAAGCAATAGAAAACAAGCTTGAAATATATGGCATTTAGATGATTGAAATATTTAAGAAATACATATACACACTTATAAAGGTTTATAGCATAATTCCTTTTTAAATTAATGTCAGTAAGCATTGTGCAGTGGCTATAACAATGAACAGAAAAAGAACAATCACAATACCAACCATTTGACATAGTAACACTGCAGAAAATAAATAACCTATAGGTTTCTCTGATATGCCTTGACTAAACAGATTAATACAAAACTCATAGTACTGGAACATCCTTAAAACCAGAAAACATTTTGCAATATGAATATTTATCCTTCACTTTAAAACGTGAATATCCTAAATTATTATTTACACCACCTTATCCCTAAGGCCTTAACACATAAAGTAAGTGAAATGAGGAATTGAAATACTGCTTTTAATTGGAGCCAATCCAAGCACACTGCCTCTCTACCACTCCTCCCTACCCTAAAAAGAGTGTGAGTGTTCACCAGCTGTAATTAGCACCGTAGGGGAAATTAATTAAAACTACAAATAACCAGAAAATAACTTTAATTAGGTTTTTTGGTTTGTATTGGTTTAATGGCTTTTTAAATTTTAGAAAACTAGGGAGGTTAAGAAATAAAAGATCCAATTTATCAACACATTTGCAATAAAAGCTGCATGGCAAGTTTGAGGTTTATATTAGCTATTCAAACTCTTTTTTGATGGATGCTTTAATTACTTTTCATAATCTAACAGAATTCAACACAAGACACCAGAAATGCCTTGTTTAATGTTTTTAAAAACTTAAGAACATTAAGTTTGCTGGGTCTGTTAGTAAGTGTAACAAAGAAAGCCATATTAGGATTATGTTTTAGTTTCCCTTTGGTATTGAGATATACTACCAGTATCAAATCAATCCAGTTATTTTTCTTCAAAAATATTGATAATTTAAGGATGTTTCTTGGGGAGAATGAGAATATGACAGCAGCTGACAACTCCTTTGGGTACCAAAAAAAACGTGATTAAAACCAAGCAATTTATCTCTCATAATGATGTATTCTCATATAATTTACTTTGGTGGAGAACTAATTTATATTTGATAATAGATTAGGGACATTAGACTTTTCCACTTTCTTCTTTTGCAAGAGTATAAACATGGGGACATGACTATGGGACTATGTATCTTCAAATTGTTATTACATGATTTCTTGTTACTTTTAGGAATTCTTTGACTTTTAGTAGCATTAATAAAGTTAAAAAAGAAAGGAAACCTAAGGGGCCGTGCCGGTGGCGCAGTGGTTAGGTGCGCACGTTCTGCTTTAGCAGGCCGGGGTTTGCCGGTTTAGATCCTGGGTGCGGACATGGCACCACTTGGCAAGCCATGCTGTGCTGTGGTAGGCGTCCCACGTATAAAGTAGAGGAAGATGAGCACAGATATTAGCTCAGGGCTAGTCTTCCTCAGCAAAAAGAGGAGGATTGGCAGCAGATGTTAGCTCAGGGCTAATCTTCCTCCAAAAAAAATAAAAAAGAAAGGAAACCTAAGTACTATAAAGTTTATAGAAGAATACACAAACATAGGAGTTAATTCTGCTTGGTGACATTAGAGTGTTCTTTTCCATTCTATTTGTATTTCTTTCTTACGTATTTCTACATTGTTTATATAATAACCTATCTTTAAAGATCAAAGAAGTTAACTGTGTAATTCAATGGTGCCAGCTTACCTGTCATACAACCATCTTGATAATAACTGTCAAAGCCAAGGCTTTACAGAAGACACTTTCTTAGGTATTTTCAACTCTATTTTATCCACCTCAGAAGGGTTTTTAAGACTATGAAATGTCCATAGATTCTAGAATATTTGTGCAATTCTGCTTTTTATATAATACTCTGCATCAGGCATCATCTAATTGCAGTGTGGGTCTATTTCAATATAAATCAGTAATCTGAAAACATTTTAACAATCAATTTAGTGCCATCCTAGAAAAGGATACATATAACACACACCCCAGAATATATGCCTTTGATTTATATAACAGGATTTATCAATTAGCTTTTCTATGTAATACTTTAAAATAAAATAATTTGAAAATTGCATATAACTAGAAAAATCACTGTGGCATCCTAGAGCTAACCCTCGTTTATAAAAACAGTGAGTACAAGTCTTTTTCTTATATATATATGTATATATATATATATATCATGCTACTATACTTGAAGAAAGCCTGTACAGCCATTCTGAAAGTATTTATATTGAGGTTTAAGAAGAATGTATATTAAGAAAACAGAAAAATATCAACTTGGACTGGTACACTTCAACAAAATTTTTTTTTAGCTAAAACGGCCAAAACATTTCTTTATGTTCATATCTTAAGTTTTATTGGGCCAAGAAGCTGACAGTTTGTTGAAAGTGATGATGGACAGATTTCTGAAACAAAAATATCAATAGCAGCTTTTAAAGAAGCATCTCTATGTTCAAAACATTTTAATGTTCAATGTAGTGAGAACTTTCTTCTTTCTCTAGTCTTAGAGTGTTTCTTATGGCAAAGTCCATATTTTCTTGAAATTCTTTATATGTATTGGTGATTGGAAGAGCTAAACAGTTATTACACTTGTTTCCAACAGGAAAATCCATATGAAGGCACTCAAGTGAAGGAGTGGGTTTAAATCCAGCAGGTGGAATGGAATTGCAACCAGTTGTGAAACTAAGAATGTCTTCCACTGTTGTTGCAGATTTACCATCTGAAAAGTTTCCCAAAACAAGAGAAAAAGAAAGAAAAATAAATCCATGTTATATATTGCTACCATCACAGACTCTTCCTCAACTAGACTGGGGATGTTGAAAGGCAAGAGACTCCCACATTTATCTTGGGCAAACTAAATCAGTAAGTCAAGTGTTGGAACAGGGCAACAGTACAGTCAATAAATGTTTACTTGAATCTCAAAGTAGGGCTCAAAAAATCATTTAGTTGAACTCCTCATTGTATATTTGAATGCCGCCTTTAATATAAAATTATCAAATAGCCCAATGGGTTCTGTGGGTTCTGCAACTCCATCTTTTTGGGATATGATACTAAAAACAATTTTAAATCACTTCTAGACCACCACTATTTGATAAACTAGTTTAACCAGTGCAGAGAGAAAAACTAAATGGTGTAAAACAACCAAACAATCTAGCTAAAAACATTTCAACTAAAAGTTAATTTTTTTCCACTCTATTAAATGGAATGACTTTACATTGACAATGCTCAGTGATAAACATCATAATCATAGCCCTAACCAATGGATGAAGAAAAATTCAATTTAACATCAAACTGAAAAAGATGAAATAGATGCTTAGCTTTAAGACTATTCTATGCTGTGGCAATCATCCATATATTTAAAGTTTTCTAGGAAGAATGCCTTTCTCCTCAAATTATCTAGAGGAAAACAATCTACAAAATATAACTTTAGTCTGTAATTTTTCTTACCACTTTCAACTCAGTCATACAACCCTGTTTTTAAATAAGTTTTGTGAATACGGAGTTAGCAGATGAAAGTATTATTATTAAAAAGCAAAACTCAAATAAACTAATATTCTGAAACAAACATTCTAAGACAGTTAAATAAAAATATCCACATACCTTCAACAGCTTGTAAGTAACTGTTCCAAAACCCCAAAGCCTGTACGTCAGATAATGTGTGTACTGTAAAAAGATCACTAAGGACTTTTGCAGAAAGATTCTCAGGTTTATGACAGAAGAGGCTATAAAATGCTTCTGGATAAGACTGAATTTTCTCCAAAACACCAAGAGTTTTCAGACCCTGCTTAAAACTTAAGATAAGAAAAACAATGAGCCAACATTCATACATGTGTGTTTGATACTACAATAGGGTATTAACATTTCTAGCTAATATACTACCACATATACTTAAATGTGAGGGAAAACATATAAAATATAGATGTACTATACGTGATATCCTTTCAAATCAATAACAAGCAAATATATTATAAAACGAATATTTTATATGTCACAATATTTGGTTTTATAGTTTTAAAATTAAGCTAACAATTTTTTATTAAGAGGAAAAAAGGAGACATCTGAAGTATCTTATACTTCAAAGCTAGTTAGTATAAAAATGAAGTTTCCTAGAGATTGCAAAGAAAAGTGGTAAATCTTAACCACATAAAATTTAAAACTTACGCATTGCTATGAAAGAAATTAACAAAGACAAAAAACAAAGTGGAAAAATATTTTTAATACACATGACAGAAAACTAATTTCTCTAATATACAAAAGTCATTTCTCTAAAAAACAGTAGCAAATGAGCAAAATACAAATGCATAATTAACAAAATACAAGCAACAAACGATTTTTTAAAATGCACATTCCCACCAGTAAATGCACATTCTCACCAGTAAGCAAAGAACGGAGGTACCACTTTTGCCGTCACACTGACTAAGCCCTACCTGCGGTTCTGGATTCCCTACCCACCTCCTCAGGTACCGTGTACACTGAGTCATTTCCCCTTCTCTTGGCTCTACCTCAAGAGCACATAAACGTGCTTATCTTACCCATCTTTGAATAAGGGGGGCAAAAATTCACTCAATCCCATTTGTTTTCCTTCAAGACAACCTACTTGAAAGACTTACCTACATTCACTGTCTCCATTTCTTAATTTCCTATTCTCTTTTCCTCCACTTCTGTCTACATCTCAGGAAAAACTGCCCTAAGTTCATAAATGATCTCCTTCTACGGCACCAGTCTCCTGGTTTTCCCCTTCTTTCTCTGGTCACACCTTTTTAGTTTCTTAGAAAACAACTTTTCTTTCTTTACTTTGCCTTAAATGCTGCTGTTTGTCCCTCATGGATCTGAAACAAGGCCAATTTCTCTTCTCTCATGGAGTCATTTAGCAGGTGTACACTCATCACTATAAAATCTATTACCTCCAGCGCAGAAATATATTCGAGAGACTGCTGGTACTACACACTTCAAGAACCCAAATTTATTTCGTCCAAAAGAAAGCTAATCACCATACTACCAAAATCTGAACCATAGGTTAGAGTAAATGCCTCCGCTATCCATCAAATTAGTATAGCTAAATCTGAAAGTCATCTTTTACTCTTCCTCCTTCCATCCCTAATTAGCAGATCCTGTGAATTTCCTTTTCTGAAATCCCTCTTCTTTGCTCACTTCTCCACATACCCCTATTACCACTCTATTACAAACCACCTGCAGAGGAGCTGTTATACCAGGTGTGCAAATCTCCAATTTCACTTTCCATGCTGTAGCCACAGGAATGTACCAGAAAGAAACCCCAATACTGTCATTCACCCTGAGGTAGGTTGAATGGAGGCCCCTCAAAAGATGTGTACACATCCTATTCCCTGAAACCTGGGAATGCGACCTTATCTGGAAAAAGGGTCTAAGCAGATGTAATTAAGTTAAGGATCTTGAGCTCATCTGACCTAGAGTATCTGGACTGGCCCTAAATTCGATGACAAGAGTCTTTAGAAGAGACACACACACAGAGAGGAAGAGGCCATCTGACACAGTCAGAGATTTGACTTATGCAACCAAAAGCCAAACAACGCCTGGAGCCACCAGAAGCTGGAAGAGGCAATCAACAGATTGTCCTCCTAAATTCCCAGAAACAGTGAAGCCCTGTTGACACGTAGATTTTGGACTTCTAGCCTCCAAAACTGTGGAAGAATAAATTTCTGTTGTTTTAAGCCACTCAGTTTGTGATAATTTTTTACAGCAGCCACAGGAAACTGATAAATATATCCATGAAACACAGTCCAAACTCATTAACATGGCTTTCAAGGCCCTGCACAATACAACCCCCTGCCTTTCTTTTTTTTTTTTTTTGAGGAAGGTTAGCCCTGAGCTAACATCTGGCAATCCTCCTCTTTTTGCTGAGGAAGACTGGCCCTGAGCTAACATCCATATCCATCTTCCTCTACTTTACACGTGGGATGCCCACCACAGCATGGCGTGCCAAGCAGTGCCATGTCTGCACCCAGGATCCAAACCAGCAAACCCTGGGGCACTCAGAAGCAGAACATGCGAACTTAACGGCTGCGCCACCTGGCCAGTCCCACCCCACGCCTTTCTTACTCAGTTTTTTTTTTTTAAGATTTTATTTTTCCTTTTTCTCCCCAAAGCCCCCCGGTACCTAACTGTGTGTCTTTAGTTGTGGGTCCTTCTGACTGTGCCATGTAGGATGCCGCCTCAGCATGGCCTGATGAGTGGTGCCATGTCCGCGCCCCGGATCCGAACCTGCAAAGCCCTGGGCCACCGATTCGGAGCACACAAACTTAATCACTCGGCCATGGGGTGGACCCTCTTACTCAATTTTAACTTCACCTTTGAAGTAAATTTCAGCCAAACCTAAGTTTATCTCTAAAATTATATTTTTAATTAAGAAATATTTCAAGCTTAGATAAAAATCCAGGAAATCGCCAATCCTCCTCCATCTTATGTGGGACGCCGCCACTGCGTGGCTTGATGAGCGGTGCTAGGTCCACTGCTGGGGGCTGAACCTGTGAACCCCTGGTCTCTGAATTGGGGCATGTGAACTTAACCACTATGACCCTGGGTCGGCCCCACAACTTGCTATTTTGAGAGTAATTTTCACTTCTTCTAACTATTACTATATTAGGAAACTATGTCTATCACTTTATTGGACAACTGTACTGCCTTTTAAAAATGCTTTTATAGGAGCTGACCCTGTGGCTGAGTGGTTAAGTTTGTGCACTCTGCTTTGGTGGCCCAGGGTTTTGTCAGTTGGGATCCTGGGCATGGACATGGCACTGCTCATCAAACCACGCTGAGGTGGCATCCCACATAGCACACCAGAGGCACTCACAACTAGAAGGTACAACTATGTAATGGGGGGTCTTTAGGGAGAATAAAAAAAAATAAAATTAAAAACAGAAGATTGGCAACAGTTGTTAGCTCAGGAGCCAATCTTTAAAAAAAAAAAGTTTTATTTCTTCTTGCCAGTTCTTACATTTATTTTTTTAAATTCCAACTTACCTTGTATTTTAAAAGTTATACTAACTCTTACTTTTTCAACAGTTACTTCTCAAGATTTTAATAAGCATACTTGAAATCTAAAGTTAATCAATATATTTACCCTCTTCCTGAACAATTCAAAGACCCTTGAGCACTTGTAATTCTAATAGCCCTCACTTTTCCTATGCTACTTCAAAACTCTTTTGCTTTCCCCCTTATACTGTAAACCACCAAATGAAACATTCATTTTTTGTACAATCAGTGTTAAGTTACTCAACTGTTTACCAACTTCTTTCTCTACCATTCCTTCTCTCTTGCAAAGCCCCCTGCTAGAATCCTTTACCTCTTGTATCCAATAACCTTGCTAAAGACTTTATAGAAGACTGAGATTATTTCAGGTAGATAGTCGTGTAGCGTACACACGATAATTTTAGCTCTTCCAATCCTTAATAACATTCGCTTATTCACTGAGTCTTGTTGCTCTGCTAGGACCTCCAGCATACTGTGGAAACGAAGAGGGTAATGACGTGTATCCAAACTTGTCATGGTCTTAAGGGGAATGCCTGTTAACATTTCACCATTAGGGATATGTGCTGAATGTTCAGAAGATATTCTTTATATCGATAGTCCAAATTATTAGTTTAAAATTATGTATACATGTTTAAACGTACCAAATGCTTTTTCTGAATCTATAATTATATGACGATCCTATGGGTTTTCTCCTTTAATCTACTAACGGAATGCACCACAATAACATTTTTTAATACTCTACTTGCCTTGCTTCCTTTTATAAACCCTCCTCAGAA